TAAACTCTTTGTACTTTTTTTTCATGGGTCTCCATGTAAACCTTTCCTTTGTACATATTTTGCCCTAGTTTATCGATTTGGAGTTCGAATTGTGGTGTTGTCAACACTTCGGGAAGATTTTGTGGTATATTTTCATGTAAACCCTGCCGAAATCAATTCGAGCTATAAGGCTACGGTACCACGGTGACTGAGAGTCAACCTTCAGACTTGACCAACTGGTTACGTCAGATAATCGCTAGAAATACTAATTGAGAAAGCACCGTATTAAAAGCTCCGTCTCTCGATGTAGAAAGCCAAACGTTTATGGTAATATGACCATACTCCCGGTATCAAAAGATGCCAGCGTTTTCGTTCAATATTTCATATCTGCTATTGAGGTAGTGCTGCTGACACGAGACGTGCTAATTCCCTTATCGTCTCTGGAGCGTCTCTATAACGATGCATTTTTATGATTTATTACAGAGGCTGTCAATCAAATATAAACCGCCATAGTGTGCGTAAGGGTAGGTTTTCTCGGTGAGCAGACGAGACGCCGTCATTACAGGAAATGAGTGGAGTCCTATAAACTGTCGGTTTGCTGTTTAGACTATTTGTGTATGTTCTCAACAGATTTATTAAGGGTTTCATACCGTGATGGGGAGTTTTTCAGAATTATAGAATTAAAGTTGAATTCTGCTACCTTGTTGTTATTTGAAACTATAAGATAACGTTTGTGGTGTTTGTCATAAAAAATGTCAAGTCAATGGAAGACATTATGGTTTTGGAGATAGTAACTGTCAGACTAAGGGTTTTCTCACCTTCAGATTGGTCCCATTTCCGGACTCGAGTTTACTTGTGGTAATGAGAAGCTGGAGCGGCTATACAGGTGTCCCTGGTAGCTTTTATACAATACTTGACAGGTTTACGTCGACTCCGAAGGAATGACGCACATCCTATATATAAAATGGGTCTATCATTACGTGGCGATGGATGCTTTTGTAATAAACACCCGGTACAATTATCTTAAATATCTTAAAATTGACCCTTTAAAATCCTGTCTGCTTTTACTTCTCCAATCATGATACAGTGGTAGTACGCCGGGGTTAATATATCCCCTTGTCGCTTGGTAGAGCACTATTTCATCCCTCAAGAAATGTCCACCCCATCAGATGAACTGTTATAATCGACATTTTTGTCCAATCAGATATATCATATCCTTGTACAACCAAATGACCTGAAGAGACAAATGATATGTTTGGAGGATATAAATAAAAAGGGAAAATTACCATAACTCATTTGGAAATCAGAAAATCACACGTACTTGGTTAATTGTCAGGGGATGTATTATTTTTCATTTGGTGTAGATATAGACACAGACCTTAAGTAACTGGCTGCAGAGTTAGCGACCTGCTAATCCTATTTTCTATTTAGGTGATGATAAAGATACCCCCTGTTTTGCTGTGTGGGCACGGTACACTGCAATACTTTTGTAGAGAGATACAAACAATGAATACCAAAAGTGCAACGTTTGGTACGGTACATCTTACTCCGCTTTTCTACCAGACGCTATCAATAGTTGTTCTCTGATCAACGGTATACAACTGTATGGCTACTTCCTGTTATCTTATGCTAATACGGACACTTGCAATTATGTTGTTGAGCATGCCCTACTAAGCATGGAGCCACACATTATCAATATTTGTTTAAGAATAAAGGATATGTCTTCCCCTTATTCATATATGCGTGCGCACAGGCATTATCAATAGGTTTAAAGAGTATAGCCTAGTTTGCTACCAAATCAATAGGTTTGATATGCAGGTCATGTATGTCACGCGTATAACGTTATATATGTTTCCAAATCGCAGGTGTTCGCATACGCGCATATTCTAGTAAAGCTTCTGACAATATCACTTCAATTCAAGTTTGTTTCTTTAATATAGATAAAAGAGTTATGGATAGATGGGCTCTTATGGCGTGAACGTGTATGCGCATGCGTAGGTGCTGTACCTCTTGTGTTACAATCGTATGATTTATGTATAAGGATTGAACGTTTTCTTTTCAATTTCATGTTTTCATGGCACGAATCTCAAAGAAATGTCGTTCATCCTTAATTGAACGCAATTTCTTATGGTTATGCTTAAAGGGGAACTTGCAGTGGAAATGTAAATACACATAGATATGTGATGGGTTAAGGCTTTACTTAACCTGAAAGCTGGAGTTACTACAGACCCGTCTACAATGGATACTTTAAACGTACACATGTACATGTTTAATGTTTTGTGATTGTTTCACCGCACACTGATGAATCAGAGGGGTCTAACAACTGTCACTGATATCAAATCACCATAAGGTCGTGGATCAGTTTAAACCAAACTCGTGGGTGCAAATCAAATGATAGAATCCTGAAAAAACCCCTCAAAACCCTCTTCAATGCTAAAAAGCTATAATGTAGTGTAAGGATAGTTACGAAAATGTTATAAAACACACTCAAATGTTAATAGACGTGTTTATGTGGGCAGGTATATCGTGTCTGCGCTTGTATTGAATACAATGTTTATCTGTTTGTTAATTGTTTATGTGACCTACAAAATATAGTTTATATAAATATTTTCCTTTTCATACAATAAACCCGTGTGTGGCCTAGCAATGAAAGGTTAGAGAGCTATTGGGTTATAAACACACTCACTAAAGTCACATTGTAACGAATATGTTTCATTAATGGAAAACTGAAAAGGTTCTTGGTGCACTTCCTTTAATCAAACTCACGAGAGAATTACTTAATACAACCCTTATTATCCCTGTTAGGCAATTATTAGAATAATAATTCATAACATAAGTATAATTACTACACGAATACACATATAGTGATATATGATAATTCAACTGATTGAGCCCGTCGACCTGTCGTCGACCGGATGTACTTTGTCCTCGCCCGTTAGTTATATACATATAAAAAAAACCACTGGCGAGTTGGAGGCTATGATTTCAAACTGTTGTATACAAAACAACGAGTCCGGTGCTTTGTTTTCAATCGGTGTTATACAAAATACCTAAAAGTCAAGTGCTTTTTTCTAATTGTTCACGAATTACGTAGTTCTATGTATGGCGTTATTAGTATAATCCAACAAACCAAACACTAATACTTCCAACTATTTTAAACAGCCTAACCGATTGACCAAGTCTCACGCACGTGTTCAATTATGGGTACTTGTGACCTGACCTCGTTATACAATTGTAATAGTACATGGTACCCCGATAATGGCACTTGGGTCGCGGGTACAACTAACTACAGTCAGGTTACATGTGTAACACGTTTAGACATTAAGTGTAGTTCACACCGAGACATATAACCGATGACTGGAATAAAGCAGTACATCAATTTCCTATTTAGTTTTTTTGGGGGATTCCGAAATACAGAAAACGATTGTTGTTCCTGCTTTACTTATATCACATTATGAATTCGAAACTCTTCCGACAAAATATAGGTTGAGGAAACAAGGACTGATTGCCTGGCATTTCCAAGCAATACATAGTTCGATTCATTTGTGATAGTGACTTTAATTACTGAACCACGTTACAACCTTATCATGTCACAAATAAGGAAATAATACACAAATAAGTATTCCCGCGTTGTTGACCCGTCATCAACCCGATTGCACTGATTGTGCTCCAGGCGGAAACCATTATAAAATACTGTCTATAACATCGGGCGCAATGTTCCCAATTCTCTCTCCGAATTAAATTAAGTAATTTCATACTCTCTGTACATCATACCAACATATGGTATATCACTTGTATGACACCATTGAATGATGAAAATAATAGTTGATTTAAAGCGATGATGTAACAAGCTATATAGGAGGACACCATGATCTGCCTTGACTATTACATATTTTGCTCTTACACATACCCCTGGTTACGTTTCAGGTTCAGTTTTTATCTCTGAGTAGATTGCAGTTGCTGTTCATCTCCAAGCTATTCAGTAACTTTGTATTGGGGTACACTGTTTCCGTTTACTTGTTTTAAAAAGCATTGGATGAAATACCTACAACATTAAGCAGGTAGTCCCTGCACAGGTGTTTGGATTTGTTTGCTGAGTGTACCATTTATCACGGGTTGTACATGTGTTTAGTAAGACAGTAAGATTTAAGAACTTGTGTCCAATACCTTTGATTATTATTAATAAATGAAGATATGTTTGAAGGAGGTGATGATGAAACTTAACGTATGTTTTATAGGTGTATGTAAGGCTATCAAACCGGACAAATGTTAGTAATCGGTTACTCGAAAAACCTGCCGACCGCGTAACCGGTTATTGGGTCAATTGGTACAACAACTCATTCATTGTATATTTAGCAAATGTTCTGTTCAAAACGTATTTGAAATTAATATACTTTAATAAGCACGATAGTTGCTCATGTATGTGAAGTTCTCAACGCCTAAACACAGACATGTAATCTCAATAAGCATATTGCGATAGACAACATTGGTCAGGTTAAAGGGGCTGCACTATTTCCTCTCGAAACCAAAGGCGATAATGTTGTTCTTGGGAAACATAATTTAAAGGACATCCTAATTCATAGATAATTGCACTTCTTTTAATGTTTTTACCGATATATCATTCAAATGTGCACTCTTGCACAATTCGCATTCTGGCTCCCTTTCCCTGTTTAGGCTTTTTGTATGGTGTGGTCGGCATCTCTATGACAATCTTTACTATCAAGTATATAAACCGCACAGGCTTTGCCTTCAACGTCCGACTGTTGTCTCATAGTTAGATAATGTGTAGGTATACGCCAGTTAAACAGGGGGTTCCTTATAGGGTAAACAAATGTCCGACTGTTGGATAATTGATTTTGATAACCGCATCGTGGTCTTCCGGCCGAGTAACCGGTTAACCAGTTAACCACTGACAACCCTAGTATATATAGTAATTGTACACGTATGTTACATATTTTTTCAAAAATATTTACACGTGTTTAACAAGTGTATATACTAATTTTACACTTTTTTTTTTACAGGTATAGGGTACGGGATCTGTTTCGTGGCGACCTTTGTGGGAATGTACTACAACACTATCATAGCGTACGCCCTGTACTACCTGGTGATGTCGTTCCGGGCGGAAGTTCCCTGGACACACTGCGGAAACCATTGGAACACTGAATACTGCGTCTCCGTGGTGGACGGTTACAACAAATCTCTAGTCACCAACGACACCATGCTGGCCGCCTCGGAATACTACCTGTAAGTGGTTTAGTACGTGTTGGCTTTACTTCTGGTTTCATGTCTTCTTGTAGTAGTATATTGTATGGACGTGGACTTTCAGTATTTGGATTATTTTTAAATTCAGGCTTATTTCAGAGTGTTGTAAATATTTTGTTATTACTCATTCAGGCTGATTTGACAGTGTTGTAAATATTTTGTTATTACTCATTCAGGCTGATTTGACAGTGTTGTAAATATTTTGTTATTACTCATTCAGGCTGATTTGACAGTGTTGTAAATATTTTGTTATTACTCATTCAGGCTGATTTGACAGTGTTGTAAATATTTTGTTATTACTCATTCAGGCTGATTTGACAGTGTTGTAAATATTTTGTTATTACTCATTCAGGCTGATTTGACAGTGTTGTAAATATTTTGTTATTACTCATTCAGGCTGATTTGACAGTGTTGTAAATATTTTGTTATTACTCATTCAGGCTGATTTGACAGTGTTGTAAATATTTTGTTATTACTCATTCAGGCTGATTTGACAGTGTTGTAAATATTTTGTTATTACTCATTCAGGCTGATTTGACAGTGTTGTAAATATTTTGTTATTACTCATTCAGGCTGATTTGACAGTGTTGTAAATATTTTGTTATTACTCATTCAGGCTGATTTGACAGTGTTGTAAATATTTTGTTATTACTCATTCAGGCTGATTTGACAGTGTTGTAAATATTTTGTTATTACTCATTCAGGCTGATTTGACAGTGTTGTAAATATTTTGTTATTACTCATTCAGTGAATTCATATCACCTCCGGATAACTGTGTACTTTTAGCTGCTAATGGTGTCTTTTACCCCATGTTGGTACTGGCTTCCGAATTAATAATTATTTGTTGACGCTGTATACTTTCGATTTGTTGGTTAATCGTTCACGATGCAATGTGCAGGTTTAACAATTGTGTATTCTAAACGTGTTTTAAGACTATTATATAGATTCACATGAATTATATTGTGTTCGTGCATTTCAGATTCAAGGTTTTGGAGATCCAGAAGTCTAACGGTGTAGAACACGTTGGGCCTCCAAAGTGGGACCTGCTGATGTGTCTGCTGGGGGTGTTCGTCGTCGTCTACTTCTGTTTGTGGAAGGGTATCAAGTCTTCGGGGAAGGTAACTGAACAGGACGTTAATTAGGTCTCCTGTCGTTTATTGCGGAACATTTGACTTAGTTCTACAAAGCGTTTTTTTTTTTCTCCAGAAAACACACTAAAGACGATGCAGAGCTTTGACACAATTCATGATTATGCAAAAAAAAAAAAAAAATGTTTTCAAACGTAAAACAATTGTTTATACCGTCCCGTCGAAATTATTTTAAAACCCCAAAGTGCCAGGAGTGAAATCAAACGTTATTCGAACTCAAATCGATGTAACGAAGGGCAAAATATGAACTGCAAGATTTATATACGACCCTGAAAAAGGACAAAACATATCAAGTCAGGGGTCCGGAACGGTTCCTGATTAGTTCTAAATGACTATAATTGTTCAGTTACACTCTGGAGCAGGGTGACTATCCTACCCTATGTGACTTAATTGTACTATGTTTTGTATTGTTTGGTTGAGTAGGCTGTGTGGGTAACAGCGACCTTGCCATATGTGGTCCTGTTAATCCTCCTCGTACGTGGGTGCACCCTCCCTGGAGCCACCACCGGGATATTGTACTATCTACGGCCTCAGTGGTATCGACTCAAGGACGTGAACGTAAGTCGACAATTCTATTTATGGATACAAACTGGCGTATGCATAATACCAGATATTCTGACCGTTTTGATGACTTAAACTTGTATTGGTATCGTATATTTGGTTTTACTGTATCGTTAAAACACGTAAGTATCCTTTGATTGGGTTAACATTATGATTCGAGGACTTCAGTATCGTACGTTTCATATGCGCCGTACAATTATTTTAACAGATTTATTTAACAGTATATGTGATTTTTTTTACGCGTCACACAATTGTTTTAAAGTATAATTAAATCACGGAGCTTTCCATAGTATTCGTATGATAGTTTTAACAGGATAATGCAGTTGACATGCCTCTAACGATTGTTTTAACACATTGTTAAAGAGTACCATGAATGTCTTAATCGTGTTATAATTGTTATAACGTATTTTTGAACGACCAACACTTCGATAGGCGTCGACTTACTTTGTTATAGTTTTATTACATGACCTGACTGTTGTACAGTTAACATAGTATTATAAAATGACTTTAAAGTTGCTGTGTCGGTATTACCTATTGCGTGTATCTGTCGTTATTGTTTTATTTACGTTCTATTTCCAAACTCCTCAGTGGATGGCCTTGTGTGATACAATGGACCTTTAAGCCGGTATCTGTTGGATGCGGTAATTTAATCCCATCAAATTTTTATACATGCAGCTCACTAAACAAATTCTTTTTCTTTTCTTTTCTTTTGATAACATGTATATATTTTATGTATCTTTTCGGTATCAAAATAGAGATTAGAACTTAAACCATTAGATTCAATTATAATACCAATAGGAATAACTAGTTGTTTCCCCTACTTTGATTATTTATTTGATAATACCAACTTGTTTATATGTGTTTGTATGTGTTCTAATGTCTATGTCCATGCTTGTACCACTGTCTGTTACTGTGTTTGGAGTGGGCCTAAATAGGCTATGCCTGCTGCCCAATCCATTTGTCTTTTGACAATAAAATTTATTGAAATTAAATTTACGTTATGTCAATAAGGTCTGGTTGGACGCTGCCACACAAGTCTTCTTCTCCTTGGGACCAGGTTTCGGGACGTTGTTAGCTTTGTCTAGCTACAATAAATTCAACAACAATTGCTATTTGTAAGTACACAGTAACTATTTATGTAAGTAGCCATTTCGTATATCACACAAACGAACCAGCTAGTGCTTTGTATAATATCATCTATTTATTCGTATCATATACAAACTAATGTGAACGTTACATTTTCATTGAATATACAAGTCAGTTGTACCTTTGTACTTGATAAACGACCACTGTAAATGAAACAAGTCAGGGTTAGGGTTAGTAAATCGTAGTAAACTCGACCGTTTGGATTACGTCGATCGACATTGATTTTACACCAATATCTATCAAACCCATGCTGTACATCGAAAAAGCAACACTGTCCTGAAGTAGTGTCAAATTCTTACACCTAAATTGTCATTGCTTCGCTAGTTTGCTTTTGAAGGGATTCGAAACTGACAGAAACGTTCTGTATAGAAGGTTCCCATTTGACAAAGAGTTAATTTACAGAATGGTAGAACGTGTGATGCATGGACGTTTTGGAATGAGATGGGGGCGTGTCTGTTTATGTTCCTACCGCCCAGCCTACTGTGTAGACAGGTCGGTTGGCCTAGTGCTACTCCCACTCTATACAGTCGTTAGATGGCGATAAATCTGTTATTTTCATTCCGGCACATGTCGCAGATCCATCGACAGATAATGAAACCAATTTCAGCAATAAAAACTTGCAAAAATATTCCAACACCTCCTGTATGTCTATCATCCACACAAATTTGCCTTGCCTATGAGCTTAAGTGCGATAAGAGGCTTGATTCTAGCGAATATTACCAGCATCTCGTGTTCTCCACGCCCCACAACCTCCTAGTATTAAAATCAAAATCATCCCACATGCACACTTTACAATTTCGCGGCTCATGTATTCATAATAATTTTTTGTTACCAAACTATTTAATTTTCCTCGGAATGTGTTCTCTTTCGCACCGCGCTGATAATCATGATATTTTTTTATTTTGTTGCCAACAGGGACGCCATGGTAACCAGTGTGATAAATTGTCTCACGAGTTTTTTGGCGGGATTTGTTGTGTTCTCGGTGCTCGGCTACATGGCACTTCTGCAAGGACGGGATATTGACAAGGTCGCTGTCGAAGGTCAGTCGTACCACAAAAAGCAATGACGTCATGTTAATATGTTTTTTATTCTCAAAGTAGTTTCCATAAAACCAAATGACCCAAATTCATGAGATAGCCAAGAATAAGATTCTTGCCGTCATACTTGGCATGATTAGTGACATTTTGTAGATACCAGTGAGATTTGTAAACGATTGTATCAGCAACATTCCTCATCGCAAGGTTACTAACGTCGGATAGAGCGAATCGCAGACATTTCCTACATATCAATGACGTCATCTCCGTCTAGCGAAGTCCTCACGTGTACTGCGCTGAGACACACCCCTAGTTGTTTGTAAACAATACACGGTGTATTACAGATATAGACTATAGAGATCATTGCAACAAGTGCTTTCCAGTAGCTTTACACTCATTGTATAGTAAAACGAAATACATCTATAGTCATCTACAGCAGGACGGTCGTTACGATTTTAATCTTCTGACAACCTTTTGTTATTGTTGATCAAAAAATACATTATTGTTTGATTATCAATCAATTTGGAAAGCTATTTACAAAATAAAAAATACTACTTTCTCAAAGGGTTTTGTGACCTCCTGTCTAACAGACGGTCATTCAAGGTACGGTAGGGATCCTTAGTTTCCTCGAAAAGCCTTCACGATCATTATCTCAATAATCATTACAAAAGTTATTTCAACACATTATCTGAATATTTGTCTTAAAAGTTATCCAACTGTAATACAACTGTATATAGAATAGTTATAAAGGTATCGGGTGTTAATCTCGATGCTCCAATGAAAAACATTTTTAATATAACTGCTTGTACTACTTTCAAATAAATATAACTATTTGTACTACTTTCTATAAATATAACTACTTGTACTACTTTCTATTAATATAACTACATGTACTTGTACTACTTTCTATAAATATAACTGTTTGTACTACTTTCTATAAATATAACTGTTTGTACTACTTTCTATAAATATAACTGTTTGTACTACTTTCTATAAATATAACTGTTTGTACTACTTTCTATAAATATAACTGTTTGTACTACTTTCTATAAATATAACTGTTTGTACTACTTTCTATAAATATAACTGTTTGTACTACTTTCTATAAATATAACTGTTTGTACTACTTTCTATAAATATAACTGTTTGTACTACTTTCTATAAATATAACTGTTTGTACTACTTTCTATAAATATAACTGTTTGTACTACTTTCTATAAATATAACTGTTTGTACTACTTTCTATAAATATAACTGTTTGTACTACTTTCTATAAATATAACTGTTTGTACTACTTTCTATAATTAGAAGTTTGTTTTTGTATTGCAGGCCCTGGCCTTGTATTCGTAGTTTACCCAGAGGCCATAGCGTCATTAGATGGGTCCATTTTCTGGTCGATCATTTTCTTCCTGATGTTGATAACACTGGGATTAGATAGTACGGTCAGTATTCAACATGGTGCATGTTTACTTTATTTTTACTTCTTATAACGAAAGATAAACGTGAACAAAACCTTCCATACCGAGACTCACAGGGGCTTAATGGGACTTACAGCAGATACAGAAAAGGAACAAACCCGGGAAAGGCTTAATGGGATTTATAGCAGATACAAAAAAGGAACAACCCCGGGAAAGGCTTAATGGGACTTTTAGCAGATACAAAAAAGGAACAAAACCGGGAAAGGCTTAATGGGACTTATAGCAGATACAAAAAAGGAACAAACCCGGGAAAGGCTTAATGAGACTTATAGCAGATACAAAAAATGAACAAACCTGGGAAGGGCTTAATGGGACTTATAGCAGATACAAAAAATGAACAAACCCGGGAAAGGCTTAATGGGACTGATAGCAGATACAAAAAAGGAACAAACCCGTGAAAGGCTTAATGGGACTTATAGCAGATACAGAAAAGGAACAAACCCGTGAAAGGCTTAACGGGACTTATAGCAGATACAAAAAAGCAACAAACCCGTGAAAGGCTTAATGGGACTTATAGCCGATACAAAAAAGGAAAAACCCCGGGAAAGGCTTAATGGGACTTATAGCAGATACAAAAAAAGGAACAAACCCGGGAAAGGCTTAATGGGACTTATAGCAGATACAAAAAAGGAACAAACCCGTGAAAGGCTTAATGGGACTTATAACAGATACAAAAAAGGGACAAACCCGTGAAAGGCTTAATGGGACTTATAGCAGATACAAAAATGGAACAAACCCGGGAAAGGCTTAATGGGACTTATAGCAGATACAAAAAAGGAACAAACCCGGGAAAGGCTTAATGGGACTTATAGCAGAAACAAAAAAGGAACAAACCCGGAAAAGGCTTAATGGGACTTATAGCAGATACAAAAAAGGAACAAACCCGGAAAAGGTTTAATGGGACTTATAGCGGATACAAAAAAGGAACAACCCCGGGAAAGGCTTAATGGGACTTATAGCAGATACAAAAAAGGAGCAAACCCGGAAAAGGCTTAATGGGACTTATAGCAGATACAAAAAAGGAACAAATCCGGGAAAGGCTTAATGGGACTTATAGCAGATACAAAAAAGGAACAAGCCCGGGAAAGGCTTAATGGGACTTATAGCAGATCCAAAAAAGGAACAAACCCGGGAAAGGCTTAATGGTACTAATAGCAGAGACAAAAAAGGAACAAACCCGGGAAAAGCTTAATGGGACTTATAGCAGATACAGAAAAGGGACAAACCCGGGAAAGGCTTAATGGGACTTATAGCAAATACAAAAAAGGAACAAACCCGGGAAAGGCTTAATGGGAGTTATAGCAGATACAAAAAAGGAACAAACCCGGGAAAGGCTTAATGGTACTTATAGCAGATACAGAAAAGGAACAAACCCGTGAAAGGCTTAATGGGACTTATAGCAGATACAGAAAAGGAACAAACCCGGGAAAGGCTTAATGGGACTTATAGCATATACAAAAAAGGAACAAACCCTGGAAGTACCAACAAATGTATACAAATGAACCCCTGATATTCATATTTGTAATGTTCTGTTCAATGACGTGTTGATACTTAATCTGAAGTTTGCATTTTATTGCTGTTATGAATTAAGCATATTCTGTCAAAATCTGGACTAAACTTGTGCAACAATTTGAAACAAGTTTACGTTAGAAGCGAATAAAATGATTGTCAATGGCTGATGGGTTAACTGAACCTGGGTAAATCATTTTATGAAGTTGAATAGCTTTCAGTCACGATACCTACTCCTTTTTTGGATATATTTAATCACCCAACGCGTTGGTATACATTAAGAATGTTGTTATGTTTTATGATCGTCCCTCATCACTTTACTTCTGGTACATGTTCTGTGTACAAAAAAAAAACCCCACACATGTCCCTGTATATTATTAATAACGTCTTTCCGCACTTTTATATGACCTTGACATTATATTATAAAACAAGTTTGACTTTTGACCTGTTGACATTGTTTCAGTTTGGAGGACTGGAGGCGGTGATCACGGCTGTGTGTGATAACTTCGGAGTCGTCAGGAACAGGCGAGAACTGTTCGTATTAGCCCTGGTTGCCTATTGTTTTATAGGCGCTATATCTACCACAACCTACGTAAGTCACTCTACCAATAAACTGACTTAAGGAATCCCAAAATATATATCATATGATACCGACTCAATCACAGATATTTGCTCAAACATATCAATAGCACATATACCAAACTTCTTCATACAAAGTAGCTTGTCAAGGGTGATTTGTAACATGTTACTATTACTGCTTACTATTAAGGACACATTGGCAGTGTTTGCATAGTCATCTATTGAGGAGTTATTTCCTCAGTTACGGCCCACAAAGGAGAGCCGTTAAACAAACACTCAAACGTGCCATATCGGAGACAGGTGGAAGCTTTCCTGGAACTACAATACACTATCTTCTCCTGTCCCCAAAAAATAAAAAGATGTGAAAAGAAATAAAATGTGTGTCGACAATCTTCCTTTTAAAAGAGAGCGTATAGATGTAACAACGTTCTATACAAATTAATTGTATTTGACCTCTTCACGTCTGCATTTTAGAATCCTTGCAAAGATGTCATGTAAATACCACCCTTTTATTTGTTCAACTATGTGCACATTGCTTGCTTAAACTTATAAAAGTGATTGTAAGCCTTTGTTTTTTGTTTTCACAATTATAACCATTACTATTATCCATATGTTGTAAAGCGCTTTAGAGTAATTTTACGAATTCTATAGGGCGTTATATAAATGTTGTATATTATTATTATTAACCATTTTGACCTAACTGACACCATCGTCATTGTATGTGTTGTAGGGCGCTATATACACGTTGCGTATTATTAACCATTTTGACCTAACTGACGCCATCGTCATTGTATGTGTTGTAGGGCGCTATATAAACGTTGTATATTATTATTAACCATTTTGATCTAACTGACACCATCGCCATTGTATGTGTTGTAGGGCGCTATATACACGTTGCATATTATTAACCATTTTGACCTAACTGACACCATCGTCATTGTATGTGTTGTAGGGCGCTATATAAACGTTGTATATTATTATTAACCATTTTGATCTAACTGACAGCATCGCCATTGTATGTGTTGTAGGGCGCTATATAAACGTTGTAGATTATTAACCATTTTTAGCTAACTGACACCATCGTCATTGTATGTGATGTAGGGCGCTATATAAACGTTGTATATTATTATTATTATTAACCATTTTGACCTAACTGTAACCATCGTCATTGTATGTGTTGTAGTGCGCTATATACACGTTGTATATTATTAACCTTTGATCTACCTGACACCATCGTCATTGTATGTGTTGTAGGGCGCTATATACACGTTGTATATTATTAACCTTTGATCGACCTGACACCATCGTCATTGTATGTGTTGTAGGGCGCTATATACACGTTGTATATTATTACCCTTTGACCTACCTGACACCATCGTCATTGTATGTGTTGTAGGGCGCTATATACACGTTGTATATTATTATTAACCATTTTGATCTAACTGACAGCATCGCCATTGTATGTGTTGTAGGGCGCTATATAAACGTTGGATATTATTATTATTATTAACCATTTTGACCTAACTGTACCCATCGTCATTGTATGTGTTGTAGGGCGCTATATAAACGTTGTATATTATTATTATTATTAACCATTTTGACCTAACTGTAACCATCGTCATTGTATGTGTTGTAGGGCGCTATATACACGTTGTATATTATTAACCTTTGATCTACCTGACACCATCGTCATTGTATGTGTTGTAGGGCGCTATATAAACGTTGTATATTATTTACCTTTGACCTAACTGACACCATCGTCATTGTATGTGTTGTAGGGCGCTATATAAACTTTGTATATTATTAACCATTTTGACCTTACTGACACCATCGTCATTGTATGTGTTGTAGGGCGCTGTATACACGTTGTATATTATTAACCTTTGACCTACATGACACCATCGTCATTCTATATGTTGTAGGGGGGGACGTTTGTCATTAACCTGCTAGATCGTCACGCGGCTCCCATATCCCTCATCTTTATCTGTTTTTGTGAAGCTATCGCCGTGAGCTGGTTTTACGGTAGGTACCTTCTGCCTGCTAATAATAACAACTATTGTACACAGGAAAAACAATAAACTCAAGGAAAGATATATGATGATAAAGTCCTGTGTTTACAAGCATTATCATGCCTTCATGATCTTGTTTCATCCAATGTGGTACAATATGAGTGCCTTAAACCTTTGATGAATGATTTTTTATACTGTCACGAGGCATGGACACCATGACTGTTGCGAAAGATAATGGTGAATGGTAACACCTAAATGAAAATATCATTATTAATATTATATTAATAAGAAACAATTTATCTAGCGCTAAATTAACTGTTTGAAGCGTACTGCGAGTTATTCCCTCATTAAATACATATATACAAGTCATATAAATGATACCACTGTTAGAAATGAACCATTGATAACCTGTATTTTGTTGGCGTAATTTTCATCGATTTATTTAAACGTGTCCTTCATAACTTTATCTAAAACTCCTTGATGGTTCTTTGATGTCAGGCGGCCACTTAGCGGCGCGTGTTGATGGCACCGTGATGTCAGTATTGTAATTTAAATTTCTCTTTCCTCAAAGCTTCTACGTCTTCAATCATATTAAAGAGAACAATATGGCGAAGGACATTTTTACAACTTACCAGTCTATTCACAGAGTCTAATAACACGATTTAGAACTCATTTATACATTTCCAAAACAACCCAACGTTGTTTTAATATTATAACATATAATATTAAAAAATAAATTAATTAATAAACACTGTGTTATAAAAGGAACAAATGAAAAGGCATACTGTTCGGACAGACTAGCTAGGTGGAGGGAGGGCAGTGCAACTTGATATTTCGATAAACTAGGCGGAGGGAGGGCAGTGAACCTGGAGATTTCGATTCATAGCTAAGAAGAGGGAGGGCAATGAACCTGGAGATTTCGATTCATAGCTATGTTGAGGAAAGGGGCGGGGGTAGTGAAGGGAAGTGTTTAGTGGTGTGAGAATTGATGAGTGAGGTTTTGTATAAATCACATGCAATCCCAAAGGAATAATTAGCTAAACATTCAGAAAGTGGTGGCATTGACGCTGTTCTATAAGTCTTTAGAAACGCCTTGACACTACCTCACGGAGAAACTGTTAATGCATGTCGTTTATACATTCGGACCAGACACATTTGTCTTTATCACAGCAATGAGATTGCTTTTTGATCTGGAAATACAACGATGTATAGTGGCATTCTGAGCATGAACACCGAAAAAGGCACCAGTCATCGATCGAGGAACAAAACATGTTACGGATACAGATTAAAACTCGGGGCAAATGCAGATTTGACACTAGCAGGATACAAATGAATACGTGGCCAATAACTGTGAGCCTTTAGCTGCTGATAGGCTCGGCAGACTACATCTTGTCTTATTCTCTCTCTTATTCCTTCACAAGCTTCTGATTTGTTTTTTGTCTGTTTTGTTTTTAATCTTGTACCCTAAGGCAGATATTGCAATGGAAATTTCTGTGAACGACGATAGTATGGCGCGTACACTGTGGACTCTATTAATCAAAATGTGTGTCTAGAGCAGAGAAATTACGTTTGTTGCAATTGGTACACAATTGTCATTGTGTTAAACTCTGCTATTAAATACTAGCGAACCTATTCCTTTGTAAATCTGAATGTTGAACAGCAGGACAAGTAAATACAATACATGTTCTCACCGGATGAAAAAATATAAAAATTCCGTAAAGCGCAAATACTTTCAAATCATAAAATTACTTAGATGTGAAGTGAAAAAGTACCACATAATACCAAGTAAAGCCTGTGAACAAGAACCATCAGAACTAAACAGGAAAATACAAGTAAACGCGAACCGGAGAGACCTCAAAATAAAGCGTATGATTATATGAACCCTTACAAACTAACAAAAGCGACTCTAGTCGCATGTGAGGGATATTTCATTCCTTGTAGATATGTACATATGTCATAAGATTTCAAGTCCAGTCAAGGACTGGGTGAAGGTCTCAGCATTGTTCCACATACAAAACAGGTTACTGAACCTCTGAGCATTGTTCCTCCTACAAAACATGTAACTGACCCTCTCAGCATTGTTCCTCCTACAAAACATGTAACAGAACCTCTGAGCATTGTTCCTCCTACAAAACATGTAACTGAACCTCTCAGCATTGTTCCTCATACAAAACACGTAACTGAACCTCTCAGCATTGTTCCTCATACAAAAACATGTTACTGAACCTCTGAGCATTGTTCCTCCTACAAAACATGTAACTGAACCTCTCAGCACTGTTCCTCCTACAAAACATGTAACTGACCCTCTCAGCATTGTTCCTCCTACAAAACATGTAACTGAACCTCTCAACATTGTTCCTCCTACAAAACATGTAACTGAACATCTCAGCATTGTTCCTCCTACAAAACAGGTTACTGAACCTCTCAGCATTGTTCCTCCTACAAAACATATAACTGAACCTCTCAGCATTGTTCCTCATACAAAACAGGTTACTGAACCTCTCAGCATTGTTCCTCCTACAAAACATGTAACTGAACCTCTCAGCATTGTTCCTCATGCAAAACATATCACTGAACCTCTCAGCATTGTTCCTCCTACAAAACATGTAACTGAACCTCCCAGCATTGTTCCTCCTACAAAACATGTAACTGAACATCTCAGCATTGTTCCTCAAGCAAAACATATCACTGAACCTCTCAGCATTGTTCCTCCTACAAAACAGGTTACTGAACCTCTCAGCATTGTTCCTCATACAAAACAGGTTACTGAACCTCTCAGCATTGTTTCTCCTACAAAACAGGTTACTGAACCTCTCAGCATTGTTCCTCCTACAAAACATGTTACTGAACCACTGAGCATTGTTCCTCCTACAAAACATGTAACTGAACCTCTGGCACTGTCCTCCTACAAAACATGTTACTGAACCTCTCAGCATTGTTCCTCATACAAAACATGTTACTGAACTTCTGAGCATTGTTCCTCCTACAAAACATGTAACTGAACCTCTCAGCATTGTTTCTCATACAAAATATGTTACTGAACCTTTGAGAATAGTTCCTCCTATAACAAAAATGTAACATAATATATTTAATTTAAATTGCAGGCGTTCAAAGGTTCTCAAACGATATCAAAAGTATGATTGGATTTGAGCCAGGTATTTTCTGGAAGGTGTGTTGGGTGGCTATATGCCCAGTCAGTTTGTTTGTAAGTATGTGCTTAACCTTATTTTGGTACAATTATAAACCTAAATGCTAAATGACAAATGTCTTGTGTATCACATTATACAAAACATATACACACCAATTGGAATACTGTTTTATTTTATAAACACGTACTAGTTGTCTCCCTTGGAACAAATACTTTCTATCGATTACCGTTGTTTCCCATTTTCTGCTGACAAAAAGGGCGGTTTCAAGATGATTTGCAAGTATTTTCTCCAAGCTATATCGAGTGGATTTTTAAAAGTATTTGAGAATATACTCACCACATTGAATATAAATCTAAATTGTACTGACTTTGAATATTTTGATTTTATATCTAAAAGAAAAAGACAAATTTATCGCTGTACAAAATAATGCTCTGACATTTCCGGTCGATTATGACTTGATCATTATACAAATGTGGCGTCGCTTAAAACAAAAAAGATTAACAGGGTGTGATACAAACTGTAAATCATTGTAACGAGACATAAATTGTTAAATGCTATTTTTGTATTTTTAGATTTGTAAGTGACACACAATGTTTTCGAATAATTACAGATTGTCATAACAGGATGTTTATGTTTACAGTTGCTCTTTGTGTTATCGATATGGGCGTATTCAGGAATACAACTGGACGGCTACGTGTATCCTGATTGGTCTGTCGCTGTCGGATGGTGTATCACGTGTTCATCTCTCATTTGCATACCTTTATACATTGTTTGTAACATTATCTCCACAAAAGGGACGCTAAAACAGGTAAACCACACATAACATGAAGGAATTGGCATATTTAATTAGCAATTTTACAAGTTAGACACTGGTTACAAATTATCGAGCTCCAGGATGACACATCTGATCAAAATTGGATACAGAAAATGGAAGTTCTATCTGTTCAATAAGATTAATCAGTTGGGAAATATGTAATATCGCAGTTTTACTTTCTACAAAAAGTTTTATCGTCTGTCAATTAGTTAAGAATGGTTTTGAATAACAGTTACAATGTCATAACATCATCTAGAGCAACGGATTCGCAATATCTGTCTGAGTGGGCAAAATGGTATAAAGTTATTGAGGACAAACGAGATAGCTTAGTCCAAACCGTGACAATGTCTCTGTACGCCATGTAAAATGTATCTTACAGAGAAACAGAAATATAAGACGAGGCCGGCGTGACACAATACCTACAATTGTCGATACGATAGATGTATTATGTTTATAATATTACATTGGCATTTCAACCCGACTACGCTTAACTGCTTCACTTTGACATATCGGTGACTTCCATTAATGCCAACAGTCAGTAAATCTACGCAAACCTTGCAGTAAATGATATTGTCATTTTAAAAAATTCGAAGATACTTAAATTTGATGTCTTTAATGTAACTATTATCCGTTCTTATTATTTGGTCAACCTCTGCTATTTACAGCCATTGGTATTTCATTATTTGTGTTGTTTTTATTCATAATTTGGTTGTTTTATTATATAGAATTATGTTGCCCTTTTCAGAAACTCTTGAGATTGTTGAAGCCAGCCTCGTTTCCTGCCCATGTGCAAGGTGCTAACGGACACGCGGGACACGACACATACGAGGTTTACCCTATACCTAACTTGAATACGCAAGTGGAACACGTCCACTCCAACTCTTTGCCATATATTACAAACATTCAGTTGAACGGGACACAAACACCAGCAACAGACAGCACGGAAATATTTTAATAGATTCAGGAAAAAACATTGTATATTATTATGTCTGTGAAATGAAACTACGTGTACCAAAGAGGTTATGAAACTGTGAGCTGTTCACATTCGTTTTGACAAAAGTGTTTTTATGAACATTATATGTAATTATCAGTTGAAATCATCCGAGTAAGTATGTGTTATTTCAGTAGATGAATGAGTTGACAAACTCTACCTTTATTTCCACGAGAGAAAACTGTGAACGACATTTTGAATGAGTGTTACTAGTGAGATCTGAACTTAACCAGAACCAAGCAGAAACACACTGATACTATTCCACTCAACGACAGACGCTATCACAGTTGAAAACGTCTGGAGAGAGCTCTTCAAATAGAAACCTAATCACACCTAATCACACCTACTGTAGATCTGAACGAATATTGTACAATTATTTTGCCGTATAGAATAGACTACGGCTTTCTGAAATCTCTCTCGCCGCTTGTGGTATCGTCTACACATTGTACCAGTAAACGTGTATCTGAGGATACATAGAATGTATTATATATGGCATTCAGAAATGGCATATAATCATAAGATTTTAACGCTATAACCAACGATAGTGCTATCATCAGTTTATGTTGATAAGATGTGTGTCTATATTTTGATATTAATGATAGAACGGGCAGCTTTTTTGTGAACACAACAGAACATTGTTATTTTCTACCAGCAAACGTTTCTGTGATAACAGAATATCGATAATACCTTTTTTTGTAGAGAAATGATGCATACAAATGTATATTTCGTTATCAATTAAGCAGTTATTCTCAAATTCCTCAATGTTGACTTAAGTTTGACACCACGTGTCGCTGTACTGTACAATGGTCAACCTATTAATTGATGCGCCGGATATATACTATGTTGTACATCACTGCTATAGTTCTTTGATTAAAACCGTACCGATAAAGATTATGAAATAATGTTTACATTTATTAGATGTACTGTAAAACAAACCTTTATGGAAAGATGAAAAAAATAAGGACCGAAATGGAATTTTTATACTCCGTAAAATAGAAATTAAAGAGCCATTGTAACCTAGTTGTTTTACTGTGACATCCGTTCACCCAAAAAATAATAGCGGATGTATGTTTTGTAAACCTGCATAAAGCTTGAAAATAATATCAGAGATGAATAGACGCACAAACGCACGCACACACGCACAACTCGCCTACATACTGTATACCCTTTTTCAAGCGTGGATACTTTGTTGCATTGTTCGTTGTTATGTTAAAGAGAAGAGTTTTGTCAGTTAGTTGTGAAATATTGCGTTGATTTTGTATTTTCTATCGTAAAGTATTGTTATACGGTTTTGTTGTTTTGTACATTTCATGAAGTTTTAAATATTTCTGTTTTGTTGTCAATTGATAATAGCTGTAAACATTAGCATCTGTAGATTTTTTGTCAACATCATACATACATATGATCGTTCATGTGTCGTAACAGTATTTTTTGTCGACGTCGTTAATCCAGCCTTTATAACCCGGTTGTCCCACCTTAAGCCATTAGTTGAGATATCAAGTTGGATTATTTTTCTATATTAAGTTGTCCCATGAGTAAGGTTTCCTGGCTCTCTGGTTATGTGTGATAGGGAGGGAGATGACTGGGTTATTAAAACTATCTTGTATAAACAACAATCATGATATCTTGAGGTTTGATTAGGATATTTTAACGTTTCATTCTTATATATTAATGTTTATTCTGAAATCGTGAGATCGCCATTAGTTGATTTTGATATAATAACTTTTAACTCTATTTCAATTTTGTTTCTGCAAACTTAAGTTTGGATTCTGATATGTTAACTTAAATTCTGATTTTTTTATTTTTTAAATTGTTATCTAATTGTTTAATTCCGATATGTTATAGTTTTACTTCAGCTGTTCTTATTTTAAATTCTGCTGTTTTAAAAATTATTTCGGTACTTTAATTTTAATTCCCCTATCGTTAGTTTTAATTCTGATATCATACGTTTTAATATGATATCTTATGTAAATCAATATGAGATGAAAACAACTATGAAGTGTTTTCTTTTAAATCAGATTAAGATAGAGTAACGCTATTTTTCGATCGCTGGTAACCATCATTGTGATACGGGAGGCAGTTAACGCCAAAAGATAAATATATATATATATGTTCTAATTACGGACATGTATGTCGTCATTACCACATATTCATCTAGTTATTCTTGTTATAATGACATACATGTACTTACGTTATAGTCATGTCGCGATTACGATTAAGTTATCTTGTTATAATGACATAATTACGTCATAGTCATGTCGTAATTACGATTAAGTTATTCTTGTTATAATGACATAATTACGTCATAGTCATGTCGTGATTACGATTAAGTTATCTTGTTATAATGACATAGCTACTTATATATGTATCGTAATTACGCTATAGTCATGTCGTGATAACGATTTAGTTATCTTGTTATAATGACATAGCTACTTATATGTGTATTGTAATTACGCTATAGTTATGTCGTGATTACGATTTTTGGTTATCTTGTTAAAATGACATAGCTACTTAAAATGGTAATGTAATTACGCCATAGTCATGTCGTGATTACGATTTAGTTATCTTGTTATAATGACAAAGCTATATATATGTGTATCGTAATTACGTTACAGTTATGTCGTGATTACGATATAGTTATCTTGTTATAATGTCATAGCTACATATATGTGTATCGTAATTACGTTACAGTTATGTCGTGATTACGATTTTTGGTTATCTTGTTAAAATGACATAGCTACTTAAAATGGTATTGTAATTACGCCATAGTCATGTCGTGATTACGATTTAGTTAACGTGTTATAATGACATAGGTTCTTATATGTGTATCTTAATTACGCGATAGTGATGTCGTGATTAGGATTTAGTTATCTTGTTATAATCACATAGCTCCATATATGTGTGTCGTTATTACGCCATAGTCATGTCGTGTTTTCATTTTAGTTATTTTGTTATAATGACATTATTACGTCATACTCATCTCGTGATTACGATTTAGTTATCTTGTTATAATGACAAAGCTACATATATGTGTATCGTAATTACGTTACAGTGATGTCGTGATTACGATTTAGTTATCTTGTTATAATGACATAGCTACTTATATGTATATCTTAATTACGCCATAGTGATGTCGTGATTACGATTTAGTTATCTTGTTATAATGACATAGCTACTTATATATGTATCGTAATTACGCTATAGTCATGTCGTGATTACTATTTAGTTATCTTGTTATAATGACATACATATGTAGCAACTTATATTGGTATTGTAATTACGCCATAGTCATGTCGTGATTACGATTTATTTATCTTGTTATAATGACATAGCTACATATGTGTGTATCGTAATTACGTTACAGTTATATCGTGATTACGATTTTTGGTTATCTTGTTAAAATGACATAGCTACTTAAAATGGTAATGTAATTACGCCATAGTCATGTCGTGATTACGATTTAGTTATCTTGTTATAATGACAAAGCTACATATATGTGTATCGTAATTACGTTACAGTGATGTCGTGATTACGATTTAGTTATCTTGTTATAATGACAAAGCTATATATATGTGTATCGTAATTACGTTACAGTGATGTCGTGATTACGATTTAGTTATCTTGTTATAATGACATAGCTACATATGTGTGTATCGTAATTACGTTACAGTTATGTCGTGATTACGATTTTGGGTTATCTTGTTAAAATGACATAGCTACTTAAAATGGTAATGTAATTACGCCATAGTCATGTCGTGATTACGATTTAGTTATCTTGTTATAATGACATAACTACATATATAAGTATCGCAATTACGCTATAGTCATGTCGTGATTACGATTTAGTTATCTTGTTATAATGACATCGCTACTTATATGTATATCTTAATTACGCCATAGTGATGTCGTGATTAGGATCTAGTTATCTTGTTATAATGACATAGCTACTCATATGTATATCTTAATTACGCCATAGTGATGTCGTGATTACGATTTAGTTATCTTGTTATAATGACATCGCTACATATATGTGTATCGTAATTACGTTACAGTTATATCGTGATTACGATTTTTGGTTATCTTGTTAAAATGACACAGCTACTTAAAATGGTATTGTAATTACGCCATAGTCATGTCGTGATTACGATTTATTTATCTTGTTATAATGACATAGCTACATATGTGTGTATCGTAATTACGTTACAGTTATATCGTGATTACGATTTTTGGTTATCTTGTTAAAATGACACAGCTACTTAAAATGGTATTGTAATTACGCCATAGTCATGTCGTTATTACGATTTAGTTATCTTGTTATAATGACATCGCTACTTATATGTATATCTTAATTACGCCATAGTGATGTCGTGATTACGATTTTGTTATCTTGTTATAATGACATAGCTACTTATATGTGTATCGCAATTACGCTATAGTCATGTCGTGATTACTATTTAGTTATCTTGTTATAATGACATAGCTACATATATGTGTATCGTAATTACGTTACAGTGATGTCGTGATTACGATTTAGTTATCTTGTTATAATGACAAAGCTACATATATGTGTATCGTAATTACGTTACAGTTATATCGTGATTACGATTTTTGGTTATCTTGTTAAAATGACATAGCTACTTAAAATGGTATTGTGATTACGCCATAGTCATGTCGTGATTACGATTTAGTTTTCTTGTTATAAATGACATAGCTACATATATGTGTATTGGAATTACGCTATAGTTATGTCGTGATTACGATTTAGTTATCTTGTTATAATGACATAGCTACATATATATGTATCGTAATTACGCTATAGTCATGTCGTGATTACGATTTAGTTAACTTGTTATAATGACATAGGTTCTTATATGTGTATCTTAATTACGCCATAGTGATGTCGTGATTAGGATTTAGTTATCTTGTTATAATGACATAGCTACATATATGTGTGTCGTTATTACGCCATAGTCATGTCGTGATTTCATTTTAGTTATTTTGTTATAATGACATTATTACGTCATACTCATCTCGTGATTACGATTTAGTTATCTTGTTATAATGACATAGCTACATATATATGTATCGTAATTACGCTATAGTCATGTCGTGATTACGATTTAGTTATCTTGTTATAATGACATAGCCTCTTATATGTGTATCGTAATTATGCCATAGTTATGTCGTGATTACGATATAGTATTGTGTTATAATGACATCGATATATTTACGTGTATCATTATTACGACATACCTGTTTACGAGAGTTTAGTTTGGTTTAGCTTATTTCATTGTTAATTGCTTAAAAAGTCGCTTTCATTTGAAAATTACAACTACGGTTAATAATTTGCCCGAACAATTAAAATACCACTGTTTTGGCGACCAATACCTACTCCATCATATCCGATTTATTAATGATGTTTGTAAGACAATAAATAGTACTTGAAATGAATGAAACACTCAGATTAAATAAACGTCGATTAAAGTGCCAGAAAAGGTTTAAATATTATTCTCTTTGTGAAAACTGTTATTGACGCACAATGTTAGCAGTCATTCTTGGGCTCTATATTCATACACGGCAATACACAGTGACAGTTATGCTCTCATAAATGACTGTCCTCAATGAAAGGATATTGAAGGGCATTGGCACATCAAATGAAAATATAATTTATATTGCGGAGGCTTTTTTCCCATTAAACACAATAAGTTCACAATCAATCGGCTGTATGGATAAAAACTAACTACGTCAAATTTTAAAAAGAGCGAAATGTGCCGATCAACCAGTGGTTTTACTCCAAATGTTGTTAAATAAAGTGACATACATGACATATACAAAATATATGGAAGCATACAAAGTGGTCTGTCGATACAGAGATCTAAACAAATCATGTTCATTATTTTCTCTATTGCAACATCAGTGGAACTAAATGTCAATAAATTAGAAAAACAACTTCAATCTATGATAATCGTATACACAATGTAGCTAGACTGTCATACTACCGACACACTAGGTAGCACTAACTGACACACTAGGTAGCACTAACCGACACACTAGGTAGCACTAACCGACACTAACCAACACACTAGGTAGCACTAACCGACACACAAGGTAGCACTAACCGACCCACTAGATAGCACTAACCAACACACTAGCTAGCACTAACCGACACAAACCAACACACTAGGTAGCACTACCCGACACTAACCAACCCACTAGGTAGCACTAACTGACACACTAGGTAGCACTAACCGACACACTAGGTAGCACTAACCGGCACACTAGGTAGCACGAACCGACACACTAGGTAGCACTAACCGACACACTAGGTAGCACTAACCGACACACTAGGTAGCACTAACCGACACACTAGGTAGCACTAACCGACACCCAAGGTAGCACTAACCGACTTCCATATGTTGACTTAACCTTTCACAAATACATGTGTCCTCCTAACTGATTCGTTTGATGAAATATAACATTAGTGATACCATACGTTACCTCTTCCATGTGTTACCGTGTACAATTATTGCTTTACTTTACGGGTGTATTGAATTAAATCACTGGCTCCATAACTATCTCAAGTTCATCCTTTTGTCATATAACATTGTAAACTTTGTTTTTGATGATGATTAAAGTGGACATTTTGTCGCGTTGTCACATTTATTTCATGTGATGATTTATTTTCTGTCACGTACAAAGGTAGATAACTTGTTCCAGATTTATGCATTTCAATAGTCTTCATATTTTGGGCATACATAATGCACATTCGATTTTCTATTCGTGTTCATACAATTTCATAAATATTGCCCGTATCCTAAGTCTTGGGTGCCTGTCGTTGATTTAACTGTATTTATCGTTCAGTTGTTTGTTATTGATTTAATTTTATTGATCGGTTATTCAATCAATATTTACAATGTGCGTTGTATTGCCGAATATTATTGTGATTCAATTAGGACATGACTATACATGTTGCGCCTTTGATCAGGTGGAAGTTCTTATATACATCAAATAACTATCGTATTAACAAATAATGAAGGAGTGTGCTGCCCCTAAAGTTGTACTATTGTCATGGTAAACGCTAAGGAGAGATCACGTTAAATGAAGGAGTGTGCTGCCCCTAAAGTTGTACTCTGGCCATGGTAAACGCTAAGGAGAGATCACGTTAAATGAAGGAGTGTGCTGCCCCTAAAGTTGTACTCTGGTCATGGTAAACGCTAAGGAGAGATCACGTTAAATGAAGGAGTGTGCTGCCCCTAAAGTTGTACTCTGGTCATGGTAAACGCTAAGGAGAGATCACGTTAAATGAAGGAGTGTGCTGCCCCTAAAGTTGTACTCTGGTCATGGTAAACGCTAAGGAGAGATCACGTTAAATGAAGGAGTGTGCTGCCCCTAAAGTTGTACTCTGGTCATGGTAAACGCTAAGGAGAGATCACGTTAAATGAAGGAGTGTGCTGCCCCTAAAGTTGTACTCTGGTCATGGTAAACGCTAAGGAGAGATCACGTTAAATGAAGGAGTGTGCTGCCCCTAAAGTTGTACTCTGGTCATGGTAAACGCTAAGGAGAGATCACGTTAAATGAAGGAGTGTGCTGCCCCTAAAGTTGTACTCTGGTCATGGTAAACGCTAAGGAGAGATCACGTTAAATGAAGGAGTGTGCTGCCCCTAAAGTTGTACTCTGGTCATGGTAAACGCTAAGGAGAGATCACGTTAAATGAAGGAGTGTGCTGCCCCTAAAGTTGTACTCTGGTCATGGTAAACGCTAAGGAGAGATCACGTTAAATGAAGGAGTGTGCTGCCCCTAAAGTTGTACTCTGGTCATGGTAAACGCTAAGGAGAGATCACGTTAAATGAAGGAGTGTGCTGCCCCTAAAGTTGTACTCTGGTCATGGTAAACGCTAAGGAGAGATCACGTTAAATGAAGGAGTGTGCTGCCCCTAAAGTTGTACTCTGGTCATGGTAAACGCTAAGAAGAGATCACGTTAAATGAAGGATTGTGCTGCCCCTAAAGTTGTACTCTGGTCATGGTAAACGCTAAGGAGAGATCACGTTAAATGAAGTAGTGTGCTGCCCCTAAAGTTGTACTATTGTCATGGTAAATACTAAGGAGAGATCACGTGTAAAGAAGGAGTGTGCTGCCCCTAAAGTTGTACTCTGGTCATGGTAAACGCTAAGGAAAGATCACGTTAAATGAAGGAGTGTGCTGCCACTAAAGTTGTACTCTGGTCATAGTAAATACTAAGGAGAAATCACGTTAAATGAAGGAGTGTGCTGCCCCTAAAGTTGTACTCTGGTCATGGTAAACGCTAAGGAGACATCACGTTAAATGAAGGTGTGTGCTGCCCCTAAAGTTGTACTCTGGCCATGGTAAATACTAAGGAGAGATCACGTTAAATGAAGGAATGTGCTGCCCCTAAAGTTGTACTCTGGTCATGGTAAACGCTAAGGAGAGATTCCGTTATGCCCACACTCTGTTAGGAGTGATTGTTGTCTTGGTATATTTTCTCGTTATCATGAAACATACTCTCCATAGAGGTGTTGTCAGACGCCACGAATCGACCATTTATTATATATGTCCAATAGACATCATGCATGTTATCATTCATTTGTATGATATTTCCACTCGAGACAAGTTGAAAAGCCTCACAGTTGGTATTTTCCGATTATGTTTTTTGTAGATAACCTACTTGTATCGGGTGTATATTCCTATATGACAATTGTTTATATCGTAGACCGACATGAATGTAAAGAAATAAAACTCGTTTAAGCTTACAAAGTTGTTTTTATTTTTAATTGAAAGTTGAATAGCTGCTACAATGCAAGCACGAAAGGGAAGAGTGAAGTCAACATGAAAAGACGACACTGAGGGGAAAGGAAAAGAAAAAATGATGGAGACAAGTTGTTTAACAATCAAAAACAGCTTCAGAGCAATAACCAAGGCAAACAATGACAGTCCCGCATTTAATGCATTTCAATTATAGTTTACACTCAAGGCGTGTTCTGACCCTATTAAATACTAATCTTATATGTAGCATCATTTAATTGTTGCTTTTTATGTCTCGAGAATTGTACAAGAAGCCATTTACATGATAATACGTGGAAAAAACAGTCAATTTTTATAGAATTGGAAGTCTTATTCAAACCATCGTCATATGTGTCAGAGGATAACTAACTCTGTATCACGATTGTCATAACTGTATTAAACAGAGGCAACAGATACACGGTTATCAGGAGAAACGTTGACAGAAAGGATTAGCAAGCGGTTTTCACGAAAGAAATTGCCGTCGAAAAAAGAGACAATAATGTGAAACAAAGTTTTCCTCCTCTTCTGGATAGTGATGATACTTGTTTTTACTATTGAATATAAGATAACCAGTTTAATATCCTGCATATAATTGCAATTCCTATAAGGTTTGTGACTAGTTTATCAGGCTATCAGTTATACATGTTAGATAGTCTCAAGAGAGATATAACTACGAGGTTCTTTGATCCCATATGAAATGTAAACTAATATAAGATTCTACTTATGAGGTAATCAAGATATGTTACTTAAAGTCTTCTTCATTTATGAGGTGGCGATAGGGTTTACCTTGTTGTGAGGTCACAATAGAATAAATAAAACATTAAGACATTTGGAGGCACGGTAGTCTAGCGGTAGGACGCCTGGATCGTGACCGAGGGTTACGTGTTCTAATCACGGCACGGTACTGTGTTGTAGCTTTGAGAAAGATACTTTACTCCGCTTGTTCCAGTCTACTCAGCTGTAAATGAGTACGTGGTTGGGCAGTGCTAGAATTGTTGAATGCTTGCTGTTAGCGCCGAAATGGCAGCTCCGGCTGTAAGCTCCCAACGGGAGTTGGACAAGGTATTGTCTGGTTGCTAAGGCCTTATAACCACGGATAATAATTTGTGAAACGCTTTGAGACAACCTACGAACTAGGTTGTGATTAAGCGGTATATAAGAACCTCGAATTATTATTTATTATTATTATTATTATTATTAATGATGTAATGGGTGGACTGATACCGGGTGTTCTAATGCATTAGAGATGAAACATAGCATTTGATATGTCAACCGTAATAATGTGTGACTCTATTACCACGATATACCACTTTGAATATCCCTGGCGTCACCTATCCACGGCTAGGTAACAACGATTATGAAGAAATCACTCAGCATATCTTAAAGTCGTCCCCTTTTTTGGTGGTTTTAGCTTATACGAACTATGATTGGGATAACCCCTACTTTGAGAATTGCGGCGATATATACATGAATATATCCGTTACTTTTTAAATACCATTTGTTCCGAAAGGATGAGAGTAGGCAGGCATCAAAAGTGATTGTGTGCCTCCCATCAATTACATTAAGTCACCAACGATCTAAAGCACAAGGAACATTTAAATCTTGGCTGAAACTTAAATTTTATATTGTTAAATCTGGCCATAGTGCTGATGGTTCATGTTCTAAACGCAAACCGAAGCCTTGGGTAGGAAACCTGGCCAGGTAAATGGGTGAAAGGGTTTGACAGGCTTCCCCTGTGGATGTGTTTCTACTTACGTTTCGAAACACTTACGACTTCCTTTCTTTTGACCTTTGATGAAGATGATGAGTCCTTAACTAGTAGCCGTATGCTGCAGTCAACGTCTACAGTGTTGGCTCTCTGCGTCGATAAACACCATTTTACAATCGGGTACGACCGTAGTTATCAATTAACGTCACAAGATGGTTTCCTCTGTAGGTGGACCATCATTCCCTGAGGTCGGTCGTAATGTTTTAATTGTAACTTATTTTGGCACGGTTTGAATGAAATTCTTGTTTAAAAATACATTATTTGTTGTAATCAAAAGTTATACAGTTATGATTTAAAGGCTTATGCTGTCTATGTATTTACACACGTTTCGTACCTTTGATATATTTATTTTCTTGACATGAGTGTCACTACTGCGTCTAAATGGAAGAGATGATAAAGCAAATGTGCACTTTGACTGTTTTGCTGCCTCGATGTTCTAAATGATCAAATACACGGTTCATTTCCTCGTATTTCCTGTGATTATGGGAGGTGACATGATAATGAATACACAACAGCCAAGGGTCGTGTCAGTAGAGGACCTGGTAGACAGGACTACGATAAGTGTCTGAGATAAGACAATGGCGACCACCAGTTGGTTCCCACTGATATTTGTGCTGTTACATATAGCTGAAGGTGAGTCACTTATTGTAAAAAATGAAGGGGGCGATAGTTTCAAAACAAATATATCAATATGTATTTTATTAAAAAAAACGAGTTGTTCACGACCAGGTTGCTCTTAAATAGACGAACTACTAATTTTCGATGAACAAGAACTCAGAAATATATTTATACAAGATATATAAAAAAATATTTGTTTGCCTTGTTATCCACATTATCTAAAAATTTTCCCGTTAAGGTTTGTTGTCTGTTTAAAATGTTGTTTGGGAAATCACGATATCCGATTAATTATAGATCATGGATCAAACGAAACCACATAGAAAGATGGCGATATGATAGCTTTGTTGTCAACATTAACATCAAGACTGAAATGTATCCTTTATATCTCGGATAATATGCCATACTGTATGTATTAGAGTGTATAAATACATCTTGGCCAACAGTTATATCATAACACTTAAAGACATATTTCGTAAATCTTCTGTTTAAAGGTACAGTACATGTGCGTGTTCTCCACTTCAACATGCTTGAGATATCGGCTTCAATAAATCCAATACACAGCATATTATAATACTGCTGTTTTAGGTCTAGTAGGACACGGTCAGCTCTGTCTCAGCTGTGACAATGTGTTGTACAGTGTATTTTAATGTTTGCGGTGTGTTTAAGGTCTGAAAGGAGACGGTCAGCTATGTCTCAGCTGTGACAATGTGATGTACAGTGTATTTATTGTTTGCGATGTGTTTAAGGTCTGAAAGGAGACGGTCAGCTATGTCTCAGCTATGCCAATGTGTTGTCGGTGTATTATAATGTTTGCGATGTGTTTAAGGTCTGATATGAGACGGTCAGCTATGTCTCAGCTATGCCAATGTGTTGTCGGTGTATTATAATGTTTGCGATGTGTTTAAGGTCTGATAGGAGACGGTCAGCTATGTCTCAGCTGTTACAATGTGTTGTACAGTGTATTTTAATGTTTGCGGTGTGTTTAAGGTCTGAAAGGAGACGGTCAGCTATGTCTCAGCTGTTACAATGTGTTGTACAGTGTATTTTGATGTTTGCGATGTGTTTAAGGTCTGGTAGGTGACAGTCAGCTATGTCTCAGCTGTGACAATGTGTTGTACAGTGTATTTTAATGTTTGCGATGTGTTTAAGGTCTGAAAGGAGACGGTCAGCTATGTCTCAGCTGTTACAACGTGTTGTACAATATGTTATAATACGTTTTATGTGGCTACAGGTCTTGTAGGAGACGGTCAGGTATGTCTCAGCTGTGACAATGTGTTGTACAGTGTATTTTAATGTTTGCGATGTGTTTAAGGTTTGGTAGGAGATGGTCAGCTATGTCTCAGCTGTGACAATGTGTTGTACAGTGTATTTTAATGTTTGCGATGTGTTTAAGGTTTGGTAGGAGACGGTCAGCTATGTCTCAGCTGTTACAACGTGTTGTACAATTTGTTATAATACTTTTTATGTGACTACAGGTCTTGTAGGAGATGGTCAGCTATGTCTCAGCTGTGACAATGTGATGTACAGTGTATTTATTGTTTGCGATGTGTTTAAGGTCTGGTAGGAGATGGTCAGCTATTTCTCAGCTGTGACAATGTGTTGTACAGTGTATTTTAATGTTTGCGATGTGTTTAAGGTCTGATAGGAGACGGTCAGCTATGTCTCAGCTGTTACAAAGTGTTGTACAATATGTTATAATACTTTTTATGCGGCTACAGGTCTTGTAGGAGATGGTCAGCTATGTCTCAGCTGTGACAATGTGTTGTACAGTGTATTTTAATGTTTGCGATGTGTTTAAGGCCTGTTAGGAGACGGTCAACTATGTCTCAGCTATGACAATGTTTTGTACAGTGTATTATAATGTTTGGGATGTGTTTAAGGTCTGGTAGGAGACGGTCAGCTATGGCTCAGCTATGACAATGTGTTGTCGGTGTATTATAATGTTTGCGATGTGTTTAAGGTCTGGTATGAGACAGTCAGCTATGTCTCAGCTGTGACAATGTGTTGTACAGTGTATTTTAATGTTTGCGATGTGTTTAAGGTCTGGTAGGAGATGGTCAGCTATGTCTCAGCTGTGACAATGTGTTGTACAGTGTATTTTAATGTTTGCGATGTATTTAAGGTCTGGTAGGAGACGGTCAGCTATATCTCAGCTGTTACAACGTGTTGTACAATTTGTTATAATACTTTTTATGTGGCTACAGGTCTTGTAGGAGATTGTCAGCTATGTCTCAGCTGTGACAATGTGTTGTACAGTGTATTTTAATGTTTGCGATGTGTTCAAGGCCTGGTAGGAGACGGTCAACTATATCTCAACTATGACAATGTGTTGTACAGTGTATTATAATGTTTGCAATGTGTTTAAGGTCTGGTAGGAGACGGTCAGCTATGTCTCAGCTATGACAATGTGTTGTCGGTGTATTATAATGTTTGCGATGTGGTTAAGGTCTGGTAGGAGCCGGTCAGCTATGTCTCAGCTGTGATATTGTGTTGTTCAGTGTATTTTAAAGTTTGCGATGTGTTCAAGGTCTGGTAGGAGACGGTTAGCTATGTCTCAGCTATGACAATGTGTTATCGGTGTATTATAATGTTTGCGATGTGTTTAAGGTCTGGTAGGAGATGGTCAGCTATGTCTCGGCTGTGACAATGTGTTGTACAATGTATTTTAATGTTTGCGATGTGTTCAAGGCCTGGTAGGAGACGGTCAACTATGTCTCAGCTATGACAATGTGTTGTCGGTGTATTATAATGTTTGCGATGTGGTTAAGGTCTGGTAGGAGATGGTCAGCTATGTCTCCGCTGTGATATTGTGTTGTACAGTGTATTTTAATGTTTGCGATGTGTTTAAGGTCTGGTAGGAGATGGTCAGCTATGTCTCAGCTGTGATATTGTGTTGTACAGTGTATTTTAATGTTTGCGATGTGTTTAAGGTCTGGTAGGAGATGGTCAGCTATGTCTCAGCTGTTACAACGTGTTGTACAATATGTTATAATACTTTTTATGTGGCTACAGGTCTTGTAGGAGATGGTCAGCTATGTCTCAGCTGTGACAATGTGTTGTACAGTGTATTATAATGTTTGCGATGTGTTTAAGGCCTGTTAGGAGACGGTCAGCTATGTCTCAGCTGTGACAATGTGTTGTGTAGTATATTATAATGTGTTTGATGTTGTTTCAGGTCTGGTAGTAGATGGTCAGCTCTGTCTCAGCTGTGACAATGTGTTGTGCAGTATATTATAATATTTTTGATGTTGTTTCAGGTCTTGTAGGAGATGGTCAGCTTTGTCTCAGTTGTGATAAGGTGGTGCTGCCTCGTGACTGTGGACACGTAACAAGATGTGGCGTTCACGAGGTATGGACTCAATAGAGACACACAACGAAATTCAATCATTTGCGTTGCTTTAAAGAAAGGAAAACTATTTGAAACATTGTAACGCTTACTTGTTTTTTTTATATTTACCAAATTAAGCTTATCTAAAGAGAAAAACATTGACGTAATTAATGATGAAGTGTTGGCACAATATTTTATATTTTCTATACAGAACTAAAGGATACGGTATTAAATTCTTATTCATGAAGTTCATTTACTCATGCACAAAAAGTTTATCTTGACGAAACCTTTCTCTTTGTTGTGTTCTTTATACGTTAAGACACACTTCAGACCAGGACTGTTCATACTGGTCATATGGCGCTATAAAATATTTGCTTTCTTTGATTTAAGGGACCTGGAGTTACCTTGACCTATATATTTCTTGTAATTATTTTACATATGAAAGCATCTGTACAATTAGTGTATAGTAGAACACTGTTTCCTAGTATTTTTAATACTCCAATAAAAAACAGGTTCTGGTTGTGGGTACACACTACCATCATGAAATTGACTTTCTATTTTATATTTAGATACATGCATATTTTATATTTTTCAGTCAAGGTATTTCTCAATCTTACGTTTCTGCTTCTGCTTCATTATAATAACAAATAGATGGCAATGGAACATGACATAACAAGCCAGTTAAGTGACTCTTCCATAAACCAATGTTTATTGTGATAACCTAGTAATGTCTTTATAGAGTTTTCAAAAGGCATCATAGTCTACATCCTCGCAGTCACTCTCATTTCAGCTCTTTACCAATTTGTCAGTCGAAATTGAAGGCAATCAACTAGCAGTTTGATTGGTCACACATAAAAGAATACCAAATTGCTAGGACGATACATGTGTCTGTCCTTTGAAGATTACAGAATAGCGACATTCGACCTCAAAACCGGTCAACTTTTACCGTTATGCTGTCGCAAAATTCTTTGAGGTACTCAAAGATAAAATTAGTCTTCTTTTGTCATCCACAAGGTGGCAAACACTGAGCATTTTACTTTCCATGACATCTCCAAGGGAATTTACAGTTTCCGAGACAATGGGGATCGAAATATGAACTCTTGTATCAAACTTTTCTATTCGTCATATTTACATTACGATGAAAAAAAGAAGTTACCCCATCAAGAAACGGTTGGTTGTCATGTTTATCTAGTTCGAGTTAGTTAATTCTTAAATTGCTGATTTGTCTGATAGGGGAAATTACTTTGAACTATGCCGTCACAATAAAAAATGACGTCGCAAATCATTGTTACTGGACGTCATTATTAGAAAATTCACCTATGAAGGTGTATCCAATGAATCGGGAAAGAGGGAACCAATAGTGGTTGTGGGAGAAACAAACTTAATCAATGACATAAAAGTTTGAGAGGCGAACTCAGAAATGTTGTTAAATATTTGTAGACGACACTTATAGGTGGTAAGAGTTATAGAGTTATTGCTCTTTAGATACGTTACATACTCACAAGGGCGTTTATATTCAAAGCCGCAACATCCAAATTTTTCTGAAATTTCTTTATTCTTAAATCAAAGGGTAGAATTAACCATATTATTTAAAATGTCCTTTAACGAATCTCCAGAAAAGTTATTAGTTAAAATGTCCTTTAACTAATCTCCAGAAAAGTTATTAGTTAAAAAGTCCTTTAACTAATCTCCAGAAAAGTTATAAATTAAAATGTCCTTTAACTAATTTCCATAAAAGTAATTAGTTAAAATGCCCTTTAACTAATCTCCAGAAAAGTTATGAGTTAAAATGTCCTTTAACCAATCTCCAGAAAAGTTATTAGTTAAAATGCATAGCTATAACTATCGTTGAGTTCGACTCGAGGACATTGCTATCAAGGAGACATGAAGGAGAGGTGAGAGGGTAAAATGTAACAATATCATGTACTGTTATTCAAATTGATATGGTGTGGCATGTTTTTAAAATAGCAGACGACTTTTTTTTTTATTGAACGCGAGGCTTTTCTAGTGCTAGAGTTAAAGGAATGTCACTACAATTATTGTTAATATGTAATATGAATTTCTCGTCTAAATACATCTGAAGAATTCGGATAATGCATTTGGACTACTTTAACTCCATATGATAAACTGAAAAAAGTAAGCAGGGATTTCTTTTGCCATGTGACAAATACTGGTGTTTAACATAGTAAAGGGCATTCGTTTTGATTTTTTCAGAAATGTGTTACAACAAAATATGTGACCAGTAGTGCGGTAATCTGGTACAGATTAGGATGTAAGGCAGCACATGTGAGTATGCGTATTCCTTCATTGGAATTTTATATTCACAATATCAAAGTTCGTTATTTGTTGATGTTCAGATCTTATGTTTTGTTTTGCTGCACCATCTTCATTGCTATTTGTTAACTGATTCCGTATAGAATTTCAATTTTACCCTTTTGTTTTGACGCAAAAGTAGAATGTCTACTTTTATTTACATGTTAATACATGTTATGGAGAAGAGTATAAGCCATAAACAAAAGAAATGATTTCTTTCAAAATGTTGAAGACGTGTGGTGGTTCATCGAGCAATGGCCGCCGTATGTCTGTAGGGGTCGATGAAGCCGCTTTGTGTGTTGGTTGCTGTAACGATACTGCACTTTGTAACCAGCATGGGTGTGGAACATTAGGTATGTAACGATACCACGCTTTGTAACCAGCATGGGTGTGGACATTAGGTATGTATCGATACCACGCTTTGTATCGAACATTGGTCTGGAACAGTAGGTATGTAACGATACCACGCTTTGTATCCAACATCGGTGTGGAACATTAGGTATGTAACGATACTGCACTTTGTAACCAGCATGGGTGTGGAACATTAGGTATGTAACGATACCCCACTTTGTAACCAGCATTGTTGTAGAACTGTAGGTATGTAACAAACCACGCTTTGTAACCAGCATGGGTGTGAAACATTAGGTATGTAACGATACTACACTTTGTAACCAGCATTGTTGTAGAACTGTAGGTATGTAACGATACCACGCTTTGTATCCAACATCGGTGTGGAACATTAGGTATGTAACGATAATGCACTTTGTAACAAGAATGATATTGTGTTGGTATATCATACTTTAATTATTTGTACGCGCTTGAATCGGTTGGCCACTGTCTATTTAAACTTGATTCCATGAGCAAAGCAAAATTATAACTGTTACTAGGAAGTTTTGGCTACTATTACAGTATCTTAGCAGTTTTGGTCAATTAAAACAAAACCTTTAACGAAGAGAGATCAACATTATTTAAGATATTTGAGAAAAGAGATATTGTGACGCTGTGTCTTACTAATTTGATTGTTTGCAGGTTTTGATTCTCACAATAAGATATGCTACAATTGTGCTCAACACAGAACTCCGAATTCTTGTGATGACGTGACAGTGTGTAGCCAGGACCAGGTGGGTGATCAATGCATACTAGGATTTGACATTAATGACATGAATTTTGAGAAAATATCTAGGAATTATTAAATCACTTTTGACATTATTAACGTACATTTAACATGCTTTGCTAAAAATCCTCTTGGGGGAAAAATACTTCTTATTCATTTATATGAAGAAGAGTTCAAACCATATGTATGTTATGATAGTCGACAGTGTGTTTACTAAAAAATCTATATTTAAACTTTGTTTCACAAATATCTACTCGACTTAGTTTTGATCCCATCCAGATATCATGTATGAACAATCTATATTTTCACATTTCTTAAAACATGCTATTACACTGATCGAGTTGTGTAACGAAGACACAGAACAAGCTTGTAAGACTTACATTGATGTACTCAATGTAACAATATTAGCGGTCGTAAGTACAGACGTAAGAAATATTTCCTGATTCAGGTTCCATGTATAGGTCCTATTTGTTTCTGGAACCACAAATCCTTTACAACCAGATTACGCAAGGATGCTTAGGGTAAAAAAAAGTGTTAATCAAGATAGTTAGCTATCTGAAGAAATGAGAAAGAAATTAAGTCCGGTAGGCTGTAGTGGTTTTTTTTTCAATAAAAGATCTGACATTACATAATATCTATACACTGAATTGTAAATAAAACGTTTCTTCATGTTGTCATTTCTTGTTCATATTTGTGGTCCCAATTGAACTACATCGACAGACGTGTTTCATATCAAAAACAGCCTTTGGTCCAGATAGCCTCTACACCAGTGGATGTTTGCCTGTATCGGTAAGTAAATCGAGTGTGCTCAATGTTTATCATTTCTTAAACTTATCATTTAAGGCAGAACTTTTACTGACGCCGCGTTTTTTTTTGTTTTTTTTATAATGATCACCTAATATACTTACCATTTCAGCAATGCGCCCAGTCTGACATCTCAAGGTGCTGCCATTCCTCCCTCTGCAATAATAATTTAAATGTATCGATGACGTCATCGAGTGTCCCCAGCATTGGCACTACACTTCCCACGACAACACGTGCAGTTACCACAGTGACATCTCGAACGACAAAGACCACAGGTACATGTAAGCTACATATGGAGAGTAGGTTAACATGATGTTTAGAAAGTTGTTTGGTGACTTCAAGCAACGATGTCATAGTTCAAATTTTCTAACCGATCTGCTTGTATTCGCTTACATATTTGAATTTATATAAAGTCTAGTAGAAAAAAGGAAGGGAAATAATTTCATTTGTAGATTGTAGATGACCTGTTGATATTTTGTCTTAGAATTACAATGTCACCAATGTTTTCCTGAGGTGGTTAGATATTTATTTTCCTGAGGTGGTTAGATATTTATGTTTTATACTCATAACTTTTATCCGATTTTACTTTCTCATAAATGAATTAAAAATATAGGCTTGTTATGCGTAAAAGAATATTTCTAGTAACAGAAACAAAACAAAAACTATTTTTTCATTAAACATTGACAAAACCAAGATCCGCATAAGTGTGAATACAGAAACTTTAAAATAAAGGAATGCTTAAAAACATCTATAGCAAGGTTGTTTTCCACTTCGATGACTATTTCGACAGTTGAATGCATCAAAGTAATTATCTGTCTCGTACACGTAAAGACAGTTTATATATCAGGTAGAAAACAAACATAACAAAATAAAGTGTATTTAACTGACTTGTACCTGCTGTTTTTATTGTTTACCTCTTATTAACCCTGTGACTATCTTCTAATGATGTTTTTGTTATTTTTAGCTGCCAGCTGTGCCTCAGGTTGGATATCTGATATTTACAATAACGTGAAGTACTGTAGACATGAGGATACAGGGCTGACAACCTGGCACGCCGCTAAGGTAACAAGTACCCATATTTGTAGTTCAGAAGAGTTCCGAAATGTGCTGTGGATAAAAGTCAGAAAAACTAGTGTTGTAAAATCAGTAATCTATGATGAATTAATATCGCTATGTGACTATTGGCTTAATACAGAGGTACCAAGGAAGTTTATTGACAATGTTTGCACTGGATGGCACGCCATTGGTGTACGATTTATAAATAAAAATACATAAAACTGACGTTCCCAAACAGCCACATTGTTAATTACTCTGACAGACCAGGTATGTACGACATATGGAATGGCATACTGACCTATTTTTCTTTATCAAATGTTTCGTACTTTAAGTTGGTGGCCATTCAGGTTTGACGTATCAATATATGCTCAGAGCCACCTATTATTTCTCATTTTCATTCAATATTCATATATGGAGACAGGCCATTTGTGAGCGGGCCAACACTCACCTACCAATCGTCGAGTCACAAGATCAACTAGATTTCATTCACTCGCTACTGAAAGACCGCCAACAAAAAACATTTAGAAACGGTAATATCGTCATTTTACAGTAACTAAATGGTTATCATATACGATCAGTTTCAATAGTTTAAACAGAATGGTCTTCCATTTCAATAAAAACAAATGTTTTCTTATAATTATATTTGATAACACTTGCACGTGTTTGTTTATTTACGTTCATTGTTTAACTGAGTATAACATATAATACGCATTGATTTATTTAACTAATTACTCAGACCATTAGGCTTCCAATAAAGAAATACAGGATTGCATAAAACGGAATATAATCTGTCATATGTGAACGATTATGCATACATTATACGAGGGTTGCTATCTTTCCCATTTGGGATGATTACCTCCCTTGTGTCTTAAATGCTGTTTTTAAAGCTTTAAGCATGTATGTTGGTGTATTCGCGTTTTATTGATGTTTTATACCGAAAATCATCTACACCATACACTTATACGAAGCACATACAAGGTACTATTTTTATTTTGGTTTTACAACTAAGTTAAAGATAATAAATACAGATCCACAACCATTTACATCTGTGTATACAATTATAATAATATCAAAATCGATGCATTATTGTATAATAATACAAACAAGTTAATTGTTTATTTTAATGATCCCTTAATACAAAATCTAAAGTAACAAATCTCGAGTTCATTTTATATCTTCATTCATTTTGGATGCTTTTACTTATTCTTTAGGATTGAGCTGATACTATCCGTCAACTACTGGTGTGGTCTGTATTATGAACATGGAAATATATCTAATACAAAAAAAAAATCAAAAAAATCATGCCCATACAAAGTCCTTGTTTTGATATATAATAAGAATTGATTTTTGAAATATATGTTGTTTTAAATTAACCTTTTACATCAGGAGTACATGGTACTAGTGGTATCTTCTAAAACATTTACAGTATGGATGGACGGTGTAGACACCAGTAGGGAGGGTTACTGGGTGTGGAGCACGACGGGTAAACTGATTTCCCCACTGTTCTGGGCTCCCTCACAACCAGACAACTACTATGGTCCCCACCAGGAGAACTGCCTGATGTACGGCGAGGATTATACATGGAGATACAACGACGCCCAGTGTGACAGACACGTGGGTGTACTCTGTCAATACGGGTACTCGACTACTCACTTATATAATCGTAAATGATTCACAATGTAATCTTTATCGCACGTAGTGTAATGCGTGATGGACATATACAACAGAAAAGGGGGACAACAGGTAGATGTACCTGTATATGTAACATAATGTGTTGCCTTGAAGAGTGGATCCACGTTCAAGTCTATCCTGAAATTTGATAAAAAAGCTTACCATGATCTTCGAAAATGTGATTTATACATATAGCTATCAATTCTTCTGGCATTTGAATCCTACCTCCTACTGTATGCCCTGAAATATCGTCCTGTTATATATAGGTCGCCGTGTTTTAAAAGGCACATGTAGCAACGAACTTTTGGAATAATTTCATAATCTCTATCATAAATTCAGAAACGTAAGTCCCTTTCATTAAGGGTAACAGATATTTATTTTTCAGTGCAAAGCGTAAATGTTTGGTCACGTCATTGAATGATTTGTTATCGAACATTATGTACTTCATTTATTTAAAGCGCCGTTAAATAAATATTCGTCGTTTTACACGTGTTGTATATCATCAGTACTGAAACGTTTATTTGTATTATTGTTTGCAGATAGTATAACTATTTTTATGTTTTCCGGCGTTTAATCAATTAACAAACATGAATTTAATTTGAACAGGTCACCACCTACGCCTCATTTTGCAGGTAATACATCAACGCACTTTGTAAACAATTTATAAAGTCAATACAGATAACAATGACATGAATGACAAATATTTTTTCTTTTAAACGTTTCACCAGACATGTATGTTCCTCTCATTTTAACAGACCTCTCCAATAAGTCAAAACTTCCAGGGTATTATTAGGAAATGCTATCTACGCTTTCGATCACTCATGTCATCACCAGAAAAAGTTTCTCAGTGAGGAACTGTTATTGAAGGATATGCGTGTCAAAGTACATGGATGTCTGTGAATGTGGCTTCAAACGGTTACTTAAGAGAACTGATCAAAACATATCAGACTTCAAAATAATGACATTCATGATTTATCCTATTTTGTTCACATTGTTTTGAAGCCTGTCCCAGTGGGACCTGGGTAGAACACCTGGACAGGATGTACTGTATTGTAACACGGGACAGTAACTGGTATGAGGCAAAGGTAAATCACACTGCGATACAAATATACATTTAATCTGAGTCAACGTATAGTATTAAAGAAAAAGAACAGAAAAAGACAAATAAAAGAAAATTCAAATAAACCTAATTTAGTTTATTTCATATTCGTTTTTGTTTTATATAATTAGAAGTGGCAAAAAGAAGAAATGGATCTCTCGACAATATTAGAGGTCGGTCATTTGGCGTGCGAAAACATAATCATGACAGTGGTACATGTAGCTCATATAATGAAATAAGATATCTTGTGTTACAGGCGTTCTGTACCGGCCTTGCTGCTCATCTACCGATCGTAGACTCATCTAGCGAAAATAACTATCTAAGAGGACTGGTAGCCCATGGAGACGGTAACATTAATATTTCCATCAGAATAGGGCATGTCGGTATCAATAGCCTCTTAATGACACGCGTGTTGATCTGCCTATCTCACCGTCTCTGTTTTGCAGTCCCTCTCTGACATGCTTATCGTTTTGCCTGACTTGATGATACCTTTGGGTCAGACCAACATAAATTGCAATATGCAATGGAAAACAAAAATAACCCGTTTGACCATTTTGGAGATATTAGGAGTCAAAGTGGAAGGGGAGAAAGGTCATGTTGCCGATTTAAGGCCTACGAGTTGTTCTTCAGTTGATCAGAAAGAAAAAAACATTGCTATGAACACTTATTAGGTTGTGGATATTGAAGGGATATCAATGAAAAAGTAATTCAAAGTAATTTATTTCCGAGGTATGCTTAGAATGTGTATGGCAAGTATCAAATGTATTATAAACAGAACCATCAGGGTCGAGAAGCCCATTCCATGTATACAGTGTCGTGTCTACTACAGTACACGTAGCACCGAGTCATTTCATTATTATTTTTCTCTTTATTGAAGTTTAAATCAACTTATGTTTGTTTTTGTTTTATTTTATGACATGACTGTATATGTACTTAAATCTTCTTAAATCTCAATTGAAAATGACAACCGTAAAATGACCTGATCAAAAGAGTCTATAGTCAACTACACTATCACGCATATCTGCCTGAACAGAGGAACACTATGGGACCTAGTATATATGGAATTAAAACCAACCTATTCTTGCTTTGGTTGCATTTTATGGATGTTATATTGTAAAAACATATCTGACTAACTTATTTGGTGTAAAATAATATGTTTTGAATTGATATTAAATTTATTAGAATAAGGAAAGTGAGAATAGGTCAATTGTTGCCCTTCCTTCGACTCCCAATATCTTCCAAGGGTCAAACGGATTTTTTCAAATAGAACAATTTATGTAGGTTGACTTAAAGGCATTATCGTGCAAAAACAAATGCTTGGCGGCGAAGGATGTAAAACTGCCGAAGAGGACACCCGTCCTTAAGATATTAGAACTTATATTAATGTATAAACAGAAAGTCCTCGTTAAAATTAGTACGATCAATATCTTGAAAAAATCTTCTTTTAATAGTCTGGCTTGATGCAACGGAAGAATGGCATAATGGCGAATTCCAATGGAGTTCTACTGGCACGGCTATTCGGTAGGTTTAGATTATCGAACATGCAGACGAAAATGGTATTTTTTCAAGTTAACCTATGTAAGCTGGTAACAAATTTCCTTTTATTTTAAGAATACTTCATATTTCCTTTGAAATCAAAGTATTTGTTCAATATATTAATTGTGTATACGCAAGCAATTTGTGCTAGTCAAACTTTAACGACAGCGGTTTCATGTTTAGAGAACGTTGTGTCCTTTTCCGGATAGTGTGTCATAATATGTGAGCATTCTTGTCGCTGAGGGAGAGTGTTCTAATTTAGATAACCGTTGTGGTTACTTCCGGTGAGTGTGTCAATTATGGTGAACGTATCTATCTCCGGAGAATGAGTCAATTTTATCAATCGTCAAGTCTTTGTCCTATAGAATTCGGTTATTGTGCATCATTGTTTGTTTCTGGTATACAGATATACGAACTGGGTGCCAGGTGAGCCAAATAACTACGGTAATGTACCGGAACAGTGTGTTGAGTACGGGGAGACATATGGCTGGCAGTGGAACGACGCCCCGTGTAACGAACGTCGGTCAACCATTCACAAGGTCATATGTGAACGGTATAAACCTCAAACGTCATCGACACTCATTGGATAAATTCGAATATACAAGTGTAATTGATGAAATGTAAAATTGTTTCAGCAAGTATCTTTATGAAAAGTGAGATGAGCTAGTGATAGTGCAATCGCCTTGTTAATCTGAGTTTATAACTTATAGAGCCAAACTGGGTACAAACTTCAGAACCATGCGCGAATAATCATATCAGTAATGATTCGCTAAACGATACAAAACAAATCCAGTTGTGTTGTAAGTATCAAAATACATATTTTAGAAGCCTATATCTTGTTCTGTTGACTACTGCGGATTAAGCATCGACGCCCGACTGTTTACCTCATTTTGTTAATAAATCCTTTGTCACTTAAACACCCCGTCTGTCTTCTTCGTTTTTGATATAATATGTACACGACAATAACACCAACACGTTCTTAACTTTCTAAAGAAGTTTTATTCATTTACGAGTAAGCCAATGGCTTGATTCAAATAGTTGCCTGTCCTTTTGATTAGCAATAAACATTACATTGTTATTATGGCTTTGTTAATTTTGTTCCTGCATTATTTTGATTTCTTTCATAATGCAATACTCTTACTAGATTAGTTTTATAATATATCAGCTTGAAGGAACTTTTTTCGGAAATCTGATACATGAAGTAGCGGCAAGAAATCTAGGAACAGACACCGGGGTAGACCTGGACGTCATCGATTGCGACCCCACCAACCTCGTTCGTGATGTAACCTTCGATATATATCTGTAAGGAAATAGAATGTGGTATATTATCAATAAGAACCATAACTATAGAGAACAGAGCTGAATTATCATACAAAGCATTCCATACATAACTGTCATGATCCAGAAAATATTCAATGATATAAAAGACATGGTTTATAAAGAAGAAATTCAATGATGAAAATATAGAAGCTTCTTTATCTTCTCAAGACTTCAACACACTATTCCTAATCCTTCAGGTAGTATAAAGGGTTTTATTATATATATATATAAATAGGCAGCATATTCCTAATCCTTCATGTAGTATAAATGGTTTTATTATATATATATATAAACAGGCAGCATATTCCTAATCCTTCAGGTGGTAGAAAGAGTTTATTATATATATATATAAATAGGCGGCATATTTCAGGATCAACTTGATACTTGCATAAATAGACATTTTCCCACAAACAGTCTAGTTAATATGTTCTATACATACACCATTGCTGATTTGACAATATTAATCCACTGTGTTTCGTGAGTAAACTAGACGTGTGCTGTAGCGGGAGGTCATTTCCATCATATTAAGTGCAGTAATCTCCCCTCTGTATCACATTGTTATCATCAAAACCCGCTGATATGAAAATAAAATGGTTCATCTTGTGGCCCTATCTTACTCACTCTCCACTTGTGGTCCATTTTGGAGATGAAGGTCCTGTACTGGTACCAGCCACCGTCTACATTGCTTCCCTGGTTTGTCGTTCGGGACGATAGCGTTTTCTCCGTGTCATCCACGTAGTCATACGACCTCACGGTCAAGGTCGCTGTAGCGTTGCCGACAATATAGTAGTGCATGGAGATGCAATACTCTCCTGGAGGAATCTCCCTCGCTGACAGCAACCGAGCTGTTCTATTGTGATGTCCAGTTCCATTGGCAAATAAGTAGAACCCTAATGAAGAAAAACAAAAACGTATTGGATATATAATCAAATAAAGGAGTGATAGAGCATATAAGATGTGATATTTTAACTGTTTCAAACAAGATACACGTGTATTTCATCAGGCAAACACGTGTAGCTGTTTGCATAAAGCCGGCGCATATAAGTCATCATTTGAACACATTTTCAAGGGTCTTAATGTAAATTTTCCTTTCTGAATATTTTGTATAATGGTTTTGATGATACGTCAGTATTCTTTTCTTTACAGGATGGGTCTGATCTGCGCATGGTATGATAAAATATTCTATGTTATACATAGTTAAATGTAAAAGCTAAACATAAATACTTCCTACCATAGCGGACAATATCGCATTGATCATTACCAAAAACAAGAAACCAAGTATTTTACTTTTCTTTATGAATGGTCAGCGCCGTAAATAAACATAATATCATAGCAAGTGATGAATGACATCGTTAAAATATATAGCACACTTAAAATATAATTATGCATCGGCCCTCAAAGTAGTGTAGTGTCAAGCTGCTAGTTTTAAACCATTAAGCTTTTATCTAGATTTTACATTCAGGATGTGTCTTCTATTGATTTTCCCGCGAATCAGTTTTTCGCGGGGTGTTTTCATGGAATGATATTTATGATATGAACTACTCACCGCTTCCACTGGAATGGTCAGCCGTGGGTCCGTTCTGACCTAACGGAGAGCTTTGTCTGATCCACTTGAAATCGTCCTGGTAATCATCAGCCAAGTTACACAAGAAACTTTCGAAGTCGCAGTTGACGGCCAAAGCTTAAAAGTTGAAACAGATTATTAGAAATGTTTGTGAAAAAAAAGAGAAAAATCAATCAATGCCGTATCTGATGACTTTATAAAATACACGATTACATACTATATGTGATTCAAAACATTTTAAATAAACAAAATTAGAGGACAGATTTATCATTTTGTTACAAAGTAGGTGATACTATATACATGTGTACAATGTGTAACGAGCTGTATGTACTTGTATCTGATATTTAATAAGGACAAGTCTGTCATGTAAACGCAGACGGATTAATTCGTGAAACCAATAAACCAATAACCTATCGAGAGCTCTCTAACATAGATCATTCAATCAACTTCGAGGAAAGTGAAAGCCGTCATCACGACCTTGATTCGATAAGGAGGCGCAATGACTGGTGTCACATGAATGGTTGGGACCGATTACTCAGTCCTATGCTGTCCGCTATTATGTTTGATGCATTTTGTCTATAAGTATGATTTCGTTATCACACACGTTCAGGAGAATCAGATATTTTGCGAACACTCTGAAATCACATATTAGCGTTTTCAGTACCTTACTTGTCAAATGGACAAATCCTACTTTGAATATCATTTTATTTTTTAATAATCATTTCCATAGTGTTCGTGTTTTCCTATTGTTGTCAGCAAAAGTTTTAATTGTCGCACGCGTCATTTTTGACAACATGAAAAATAGGTATTGTCTTTAGATAAACATGTTGCATTCCAAAGTTATATAGTTGTCAAACCTTTGACACATTAACAAAATTAAAATTGTTTTCTTTTACGAATGATCCGTTTTGGATACTGAACCGATTTTAGTTACCAGCTTTATATACCTATTGGCCTGAATAACTAATGACCTAGTGTAGAATATTCACTTAAATCATAACAATATTATAGGGGACATCGTATATATAGTATACGTACCAGGGCTGTTGATGATATGCGAGGTGTCTGGAAAGTGAGAAACATTTATGAGAAATCCGTTAATACACTTCAGTCAACTTGCGACTAATACTCCAATTTTACTAACTACGAATAACAATAAAAAGGGAAATCAGCTATCCTTGCTTAAAAAAACACACAAGAGCATCGAAAGTGATTGAAAACATACCTTTTTGTTCAAATAGTATCTGTTAAAGATGTCAATTACATACAATTTACAAAGTATTTTATATCAACAGTTTCATTAAGTTTTTCAATTTGATTTGATTTCAAATGATGTTAGTTTATAGAACAATTGTTGAGATATTGGCATTGTGAAATATGTAGAGATTTGGAAAGAGTCTTGAAGTATTACACGTACCATTGACAGCTATGTAAAGAGTTTGAACTATATGTAATGATTGTTAAGGTATTACCTTTTTCCATATATGTAAGGGGGCTGGTCTTTTTATAACGATTGTTGAGGACTTGCCTTTTTCCACATATGTAAGGAGGCTGGACTTTGTATAACGATTGTTGAGGAATCTGGATTTTGTTTAACGATTTGTGAGCCATACCTTTACCACAAATATAAAGAGTCTGGACCTTGTATAACGATTGTTGATGAATCTGGATTTTGTTTAACGATTTGTGAGCCATACCTTTACCACAAATATAAAGAGTCTGGACTTTGAGCACGTCGTGGTAACTGAGCATGCGCTTGTTTCCAAAAGGGACGGCACTGATGGTCGTGGTGATGGTGGGATGATGTGGGTCCTTAGCGTAGGCGTAAGGGCTGAAATGTGTGATGGAGTCAAAGTCGTACGGGAAGCTTAGAAGGTCTGTATCCCCAGCTGGAACCTTACCAAACAATGTTCTCGCAACTGTAATAATAAAATATATTTGCTAATAAATAAATTGAGAAGAACGGAAAACATTATAAACAATTAAATTATTAAAAATTAAATTTTTACAAACAGCAAAGCGGCAGAAAGCTCATATCAAACATCTTCTTTTTGTACTAAAGAATATCTATGCTTGATTTTTCTAATTATTTTGATATATCTTCAGTTCATGTTGGTTTATTTGGGTATAGATTTAGTGTCCTAATTTAGCTGTGTTGACACCATGGTATTCCACACAAGTGTTTATAATACGAACTAGACGAGGCATGTTTTCAGTGTACTTACCATCCTGTATATTATCAAAGTGAAGCTGTATGTACTGCTGCTTGTCGTATCTCTGGTATACTTAGTGACCTGTATATTATCAAAGTGAAGCTGTATGTACTGCTGCTTGTCGTATCTCTGGTATACTTAGTGACCTGTATATTATCAAAGTGAAGCTGTATGTACTGCTGCTTGTCGTATCTCTGGTATACTTAGTGTCCTGTATATTATCAAAGTGAAGCTGTATGTACTGCTGCTTGTCGTATCTCTGGTATACTTACTGTCCTGTATATTATCAAAGTGAAGCTGTATGTACTGCTGCTTGTCGTATCTCTGGTATACTTACTGTCCTGTATATTATCAAAGTGAAGCTGTATGTACTGCTGCTTGTCGTATCTCTGGTATACTTACTGTCCTGTATATTATCAAAGTGAAGCTGTATGTACTGCTGCTTGTCGTATCTCTGGTATACTTACTGTCCTGTATATTATCAAAGTGAAGCTGTATGTACTGCTGCTTGTCGTATCTCTGGTATACTTACTGTCCTGTATATTATCAAAGTGAAGCTGTATGTACTGCTGCTTGTCGTATCTCTGGTATACTTACTGTCCTGTATATTATCAAAGTGAAGCTGTATGTACTGCTGCTTGTCGTATCTCTGGTATACTTACTGTCCTGTATATTATCAAAGTGAAGCTGTATGTACTGCTGCTTGTCGTATCTCTGGTATACTTACTGTCCTGTATATTATCAAAGTGAAGCTGTATGTACTGCTGCTTGTCGTATCTCTGGTATACTTACTGTCCTGTATATTATCAAAGTGAAGCTGTATGTACTGCTGCTTGTCGTATCTCTGGTATACTTACTGTCCTGTATATTATCAAAGTGAAGCTGTATGTACTGCTGCTTGTCGTATCTCTGGTATACTTACTGTCCTGTATATTATCAAAGTGAAGCTGTATGTACTGCTGCTTGTCGTATCTCTGGTATACTTACTGTCCTGTATATTATCAAAGTGAAGCTGTATGTACTGCTGCTTGTCGTATCTCTGGTATACTTACTGTCCTGTATATTATCAAAGTGAAGCTGTATGTACTGCTGCTTGTCGTATCTCTGGTATACTTACTGTCCTGTATATTATCAAAGTGAAGCTGTATGTACTGCTGCTTGTCGTATCTCTGGTATACTTAGTGACCTGTATATTATCAAAGTGAAGCTGTATGTACTGCTGCTTGTCGTATCTCTGGTATACTTAGTGACCTGTATATTATCAAAGTGAAGCTGTATGTACTGCTGCTTGTCGTATCTCTGGTATACTTAGTGACCTGTATATTATCAAAGTGAAGCTGTATGTACTGCTGCTTGTCGTATCTCTGGTATACTTAGTGACCTGTATATTATCAAAGTGAAGCTGTATGTACTGCTGCTTGTCGTATCTCTGGTATACTTAGTGACCTGTATATTATCAAAGTGAAGCTGTATGTACTGCTGCTTGTCGTATCTCTGGTATACTTACTGTCCTGTATATTATCAAAGTGAAGCTGTATGTACTGCTGCTTGTCGTATCTCTGGTATACTTACTGTCCTGTATATTATCAAAGTGAAGCTGTATGTACTGCTGCTTGTCGTATCTCTGGTATACTTACTGTCCTGTATATTATCAAAGTGAAGCTGTATGTACTGCTGCTTGTCGTATCTCTGGTATACTTACCATCCTGTATATTATCAAAGTGAAGCTGTATGTACTGCTGCTTGTCGTATCTCTGGTATACTTAGTGTCCTGTATATTATCAAAGTGAAGCTGTATGTACTGCTGCTTGTCGTATCTCTGGTATACTTACTGTCCTGTATATTATCAAAGTGAAGCTGTATGTACTGCTGCTTGTCGTATCTCTGGTATACTTACTGTCCTGTATATTATCAAAGTGAAGCTGTATGTACTGCTGCTTGTCGTATCTCTGGTATACTTACTGTCCTGTATATTATCAAAGTGAAGCTGTATGTACTGCTGCTTGTCGTATCTCTGGTATACTTACTGTCCTGTATATTATCAAAGTGAAGCTGTATGTACTGCTGCTTGTCGTATCTCTGGTATACTTACTGTCCTGTATATTATCAAAGTGAAGCTGTATGTACTGCTGCTTGTCGTATCTCTGGTATACTTACTGTCCTGTATATTATCAAAGTGAAGCTGTATGTACTGCTGCTTGTCGTATCTCTGGTATACTTACTGTCCTGTATATTATCAAAGTGAAGCTGTATGTACTGCTGCTTGTCGTATCTCTGGTATACTTAGTGACCTGTATATTATCAAAGTGAAGCTGTATGTACTGCTGCTTGTCGTATCTCTGGTATACTTAGTGTCCTGTATATTATCAAAGTGAAGCTGTATGTACTGCTGCTTGTCGTATCTCTGGTATACTTACTGTCCTGTATATTATCAAAGTGAAGCTGTATGTACTGCTGCTTGTCGTATCTCTGGTATACTTACTGTCCTGTATATTATCAAAGTGAAGCTGTATGTACTGCTGCTTGTCGTATCTCTGGTATACTTACTGTCCTGTATATTATCAAAGTGAAGCTGTATGTACTGCTGCTTGTCGTATCTCTGGTATACTTACTGTCCTGTATATTATCAAAGTGAAGCTGTATGTACTGCTGCTTGTCGTATCTCTGGTATACTTACTGTCCTGTATATTATCAAAGTGAAGCTGTATGTACTGCTGCTTGTCGTATCTCTGGTATACTTACTGTCCTGTATATTATCAAAGTGAAGCTGTATGTACTGCTGCTTGTCGTATCTCTGGTATACTTACTGTCCTGTATATTATCAAAGTGAAGCTGTATGTACTGCTGCTTGTCGTATCTCTGGTATACTTACTGTCCTGTATATTATCAAAGTGAAGCTGTATGTACTGCTGCTTGTCGTATCTCTGGTATACTTACTGTCCTGTATATTATCAAAGTGAAGCTGTATGTACTGCTGCTTGTCGTATCTCTGGTATACTTACTGTCCTGTATATTATCAAAGTGAAGCTGTATGTACTGCTGCTTGTCGTATCTCTGGTATACTTACTGTCCTGTATATTATCAAAGTGAAGCTGTATGTACTGCTGCTTGTCGTATCTCTGGTATACTTACTGTCCTGTATATTATCAAAGTGAAGCTGTATGTACTGCTGCTTGTCGTATCTCTGGTATACTTACTGTCCTGTATATTATCAAAGTGAAGCTGTATGTACTGCTGCTTGTCGTATCTCTGGTATACTTACTGTCCTGTATATTATCAAAGTGAAGCTGTATGTACTGCTGCTTGTCGTATCTCTGGTATACTTACTGTCCTGTATATTATCAAAGTGAAGCTGTATGTACTGCTGCTTGTCGTATCTCTGGTATACTTACTGTCCTGTATATTATCAAAGTGAAGCTGTATGTACTGCTGCTTGTCGTATCTCTGGTATACTTACTGTCCTGTATATTATCAAAGTGAAGCTGTATGTACTGCTGCTTGTCGTATCTCTGGTATACTTACTGTCCTGTATATTATCAAAGTGAAGCTGTATGTACTGCTGCTTGTCGTATCTCTGGTATACTTAGTGACCTGTATATTATCAAAGTGAAGCTGTATGTACTGCTGCTTGTCGTATCTCTGGTATACTTAGTGACCTGTATATTATCAAAGTGAAGCTGTATGTACTGCTGCTTGTCGTATCTCTGGTATACTTAGTGACCTGTATATTATCAAAGTGAAGCTGTATGTACTGCTGCTTGTCGTATCTCTGGTATACTTAGTGACCTGTATATTATCAAAGTGAAGCTGTATGTACTGCTGCTTGTCGTATCTCTGGTATACTTAGTGACCTGTATATTATCAAAGTGAAGCTGTATGTACTGCTGCTTGTCGTATCTCTGGTATACTTAGTGACCTGTATATTATCAAAGTGAAGCTGTATGTACTGCTGCTTGTCGTATCTCTGGTATACTTAGTGACCTGTATATTATCAAAGTGAAGCTGTATGTACTGCTGCTTGTCGTATCTCTGGTATACTTAGTGACCTGTATATTATCAAAGTGAAGCTGTATGTACTGCTGCTTGTCGTATCTCTGGTATACTTAGTGACCTGTATATTATCAAAGTGAAGCTGTATGTACTGCTGCTTGTCGTATCTCTGGTATACTTAGTGACCTGTATATTATCAAAGTGAAGCTGTATGTACTGCTGCTTGTCGTATCTCTGGTATACTTAGTGACCTGTATATTATCAAAGTGAAGCTGTATGTACTGCTGCTTGTCGTATCTCTGGTATACTTAGTGACCTGTATATTATCAAAGTGAAGCTGTATGTACTGCTGCTTGTCGTATCTCTGGTATACTTAGTGACCTGTATATTATCAAAGTGAAGCTGTATGTACTGCTGCTTGTCGTATCTCTGGTATACTTAGTGACCTGTATATTATCAAAGTGAAGCTGTATGTACTGCTGCTTGTCGTATCTCTGGTATACTTAGTGACCTGTATATTATCAAAGTGAAGCTGTATGTACTGCTGCTTGTCGTATCTCTGGTATACTTAGTGACCTGTATATTATCAAAGTGAAGCTGTATGTACTGCTGCTTGTCGTATCTCTGGTATACTTAGTGACTTGTATATTATCAAAGTGAAGCTGTATGTACTGCTGCTTGTCGTATCTCTGGTATACTTACTGTCCTGTATATTATCAAGGTGAACCTGTACATACTGGTCACTGTCTGGTCTCTGTTATACTTACCATTCTGTATGTTGTCCATGTGTACCTGTATGTACTGGTCCATGTCGTGTCTCTGGTATACTTACTGTCCTGAACGTTGTCCATGTGTACCTGTATGTACTGGTACCTGTCGTATCTCTGGTATACTTACTGTCCTGTACATTATCAAGGTGAACCTGTATGTACTGGTCTCTGTCTGGTCTCTGATGTTCGTGGTACAAACCCAATGTCACCAGCAGTAAGGACATTATGTCACGTTTAAACATGCAGTCGTTATTGAGATAGAGTTTCTGTCGACCACCCGCCATTCCGATGTGATCTGTTCTGCACCACCTTGAAAACAAGAGCGAGAGGGGAATTAATTAATTTGTATATGAAACATATCAGTCAATAAATTATTTTAAAAAGACAAAATCATGCAAAATTATTCTACGTAGACAATTAGTTTCGTGGAAATAAATAAATGTATAAATATATTTATGTTTAAAATCGAGGAAAAACATATATATCAGAAATGCCTCGCACTGAAAACGACATGTTGCCTTACATATGACAGCATTCTTTGTCAAGATAACATTTGCCCCGTCGGGCGCCAACGTTAACAACACGTATTACAACCTTTTATGTCAGGATAACAACAAACCCATCGGGTGCCAATGTTATAAACACGTATGAAACCAATATATATCAGGATGACAACTGACTCATTGGGCGCCGATGTTATAACACGTATGACAACATTCTTTGTCAGGACAACAACTGATCCATCGGGCGCCAAAGTTATAAAACGTATGATAACATACTATGTCAGGATAACAACTGACCCATCAGGCGCCAATGTTATACACACGTATTACAACATTCTATGTCAGAATAACAACTGACCCATCGGGCGCCAATGTAATACACACATATGAAAAAAATCTATGTCTGGATAACAACTGACCCATCGTGCGCCAATGTTAAACACACGTATGAAAACATTCTATGTCAGGTTAAAAATGTATCCATCGGGTGCCAATGTTATAAACACGTATGACAACATTCTATATCAGGATAACAACTGACCCATCGGACGCCAATGTTATAAACACGTAATCGGTGCGGTCACGAAAGGCTCCTTCCTTTTTCTGGAATGTGATACAGTTACCATTATCTGTACCGACGTCATGTTCGATCTCCCGCATCGACCCCTCGATCACGCTCTTCTGGGAGTCATCTGAGGGATAGAACAGCAGATGTCACGAACACAAACATTCAATGTCTGCATTTAAATGTTGGTAAAATAAGGAAAGTTCTATATACCAAAGTTTACAATGTCTGTTTACTATTCTAGGTATGTGAAATAAGATTAACCCAACAGCAAAGTGTTCAAGGTATGCATACTGTTCCAGGATAGTAAAACTACAAAATGTAACATATATAAATGATTTCTGGAAGTTTAATCATATTATGTTCTTTGCCGATCTATTGGTGAAACTATTAAATAATTGATTAGTTTTCAAACAAACACTATTATACCATTTCAGTCAAAATACGCCTTTGATCGTTAACAAATACGTTATAATTATTACTACGTGGTAAACCTTATTGATTACTGTATTAACGTACTCCCTAAACTACTTACCTATTCGAGTACTGTATCAACGTACTCCCTAAACTACTTACCGATACGACTTCTGTATTAACGTACTCCCTAAACTACTTACCGATACGACTACTGTATTAACGTACTCCCTAAACTACTTACCGATACGAGTACTGTATCAACGTACTCCCTAAACTACTTACCGATACGACTAATGTATTAACGTACTCCCGAAACTACTTACCGATACTACTACTGTATTAACGTAATCCCTAAACTGCTTACCGATACGAGTACGGTATCAACGTACTCCCTAAACTTCTTACCGATACGACTACAGTATTAACGTACTCCCTTTAACTACTTACCGATAAGACTACTGTATTAACCTACTCCCTAAACTACTTACAGATAAGACGACTGTATTAACGTACTCCATAACCTACTTACCGATACGACTGCTGTATTAACGTACTCCCAAAACTACTTACCGATACGACTACTGTATTAACGTACTCCCTAAACTACTTACAGATAAGACTACTGTATTAACGTACTCCCTAAACTACTTACCAATAAGACTACTGTATTAACGTACTCCCTTTAACTACTTACCGATAAGACTGCTGATCTGGTATACCATCATTTCGCGTTCCCATAACTTGTTTTTGTCATTAATAACATTTCGCAACTGTGAATAAAAAAATAAATATATACGTATTACTTTTAGTTAAAGAGAAACGTTTAAAAGTTATGATATTTATTTGAAAATCCATTGATGTTTCATGATCAGGTAGAGAATATTTAAACGAGGCAAGCATGGCCTGGTACAGCATGGCCTGGTACATCGGTACATCATGGTCTCGCCTGGTACATCATGGACAGGTACAGTATGACCTGGCACATCGGTACATCATGGCCTGGTACATCATGTCCTGGTACAGCATGGCCTGGTACATCGGTACATCATTGCCCTGTACAGCATGGACTGGTACATCATGGCCTGGTACAGAATGGCCTGGTACATCGGTACATCATGGCCTGGCCTGGCATGGTACATCATGGCCTGGTGCAGCATGGCCTGGTACAGCATGGCCTGGTACATCGGTACATCATGGCTTGGTACACCATGGCCTGGTACATCATGGCATGGTGCAGCATGGCCTTGTACATCGGTACATCATGGCCTAACCTGGTGCAGCATTGTATGGTACAGCATTGCATGGTACGGCATGGCCTGGTACAGCATAGTATGGTACAGCATGGCCTGGTACGGCATGGACTGGTACAGCATGGCCTGATACATTTGTACATCAGAGCCTGGTATGGCATGTCCTGGTGCAGCATGGCCTTGTATATCGGTACATCATGGCCTGGCCTGGTACATCATGGCCTGGTACAGCATGGCCTGGTACATCGGTACATCGTGGACTGGTACATCATGGCCTGGTACAGCATGACCTGGTACATCAGTACATCATGGCCTGGTACAGCAAGGCCTGGTACAGCATGGCCTGGTACATCGGTACATCATGGCCTGGTACGGCATGTCCTGGTACAGCATGGTATGGTGCAACATGGCCTTGTACATCGGTACATCATGGCCTGACCTGGTGCAGCATTGTATGGTACAGCATTGAATGGTACGGCATGACCTGGTACAGCATGGTATGGTACAGCATGGCCTGGTACGGCATGGACTGGTACAGCATGGCCTGGTAATTTGTACATCAGGTCCTGGTACGGCATGTCCTGGTACAGCATGGTATGGTACAGCATGGCCTGGTACGGCATGGACTGGTACAGCATGGCCTGGTACATTTGTACATCAGGTCCTTGTACGGCATGGCCTGGTACGGCATGGACTGGTACAGCATGGCCTGGTACATTTGTACATCAGGTCCTGGTACAGCATGGCCTGGTATATCGGTACATCATGGCCTGAGGTGGTGCAGCATGGTATGAAACAGCATGGCATGGTACGGCATGGCCTGGTACAGCATGGCCTGGTACATTGGTACATCATGGCCTGGCCTGGTACATCATGACCTGGTACAGCATGGCCTGGTACATCGGTACATCGTGGCCTGGTACAGCATGGCCTGGTACAGCATGCAAGTTTCGTTAAATACATTGTAGCTGAACTGAAGTGTGAGCAAAGTCCAGTTTTGTGAAGGCGATATTGACTTATATTTGCTAGTGTGCCAATGCATCCAACCCAGTATATACAATAGCGCTATTTGAAACGATTTCGAAAGAACATGTTTTTGTCGACGCGGATGTAAACATACAATGTTCTTTGCTCAAAAAAGGCAAAAGAGGTAAAGGTAAATGTCTTTGAAATATGACAAAAAAAAGGGACAAGATTTGAAAACAAAGTTGATGAAAGTGAATAAAAACGGAAAAGATATGAAAACGAAAGAAACTTGACACTCAAAAAATTAAATAGAAAGGGGAACGAAGCGGTCCAGGAGCGTAAGCGTTTATTTGTACAGATTACAACGTCATACTAAGATATTTATATTTTACGTGGCATTGTCACTAGATAACCTACTTGAAAACTGCGTCGTTGATGGAACTTTAAATGACATGCACCACGAGAAACAATTCTTAACAAATCAGCACGCGACAAAATGCTGTTCTAGTTACTGGACGAATTTGTGCAGACTGTCGATAAGGCGGGAATTGTATATCTCAATTATGATTTGTAAGTTAAAAAAAAAAGAAGGCATTTGTGATCTTATTGAATGACACACCTTTGCATTGCTTAAACCTATCTTATCAAAGGAAGTAGGTCGTCCACATTCTAGAAAACTCATGTATGAGAGGCACTAAAATATCCACAGGTGGCAATTACGTCATCTGGACAATTTTCTTTAACTTTCCGATAAAAAGGACTAAGTATTTGAATCGTCAAAATCGGAGGTAGTTGTATAAATCAAAATAATTAGAACATATTCGGGAGACAAAAAAACACCTAATTTCGACATGTAAGCGACGTAGAAACCTAGGGCCGATACGTAACTACTATGAAACTTTATATCTACGAGTTAAAGTCGTTAGGGTCTCATAAAGTTTGGCAGTGAGTTTACAATAATTGGCCTGATGTTAGTAAGTATCAAGATATTAAGATGAAGAAGAGGATTATTTGCATGACTTATTAAGTAGTGAATGGAAGGATAACTTTGGTAAACACTTATAACAATGATACTCTCGAAATAGTAAAACAAATATATCATTAATACACTTGATCGAGAATGATATACATTGATTGACGATCTAAATGACTTACCTGTGGCCGACTCGCCGCATCCACATGTAAAAACGTGTAGACCAACACACACAAACCAAGAGAGGTGAGATGCATGACCGTAGGGACCGAACTTTCAACAGAAACTACACACCTTTGGTTTCCCACGTTGTGACATTTCGTCTGTCGCGTTTTATCTCAACTAGGAAGTTAGGTGTGCAGGTCATCACATACTGATCTCAACCGTTTTAATCTCCCGCAGTATGAGTTACTAAGGAGAAGTACGTAGGTTGTCTTCAATCTAAAGAGTCGGACATTTACTCTGTAATATGTAAACGTTATCTTTCTTCAAAGCTTAATTCACAAGTAACATCTAATGAAATAGAACTGATTTTGTGTCATTAATAAATGTAACAAGGTATTTATTGTTTCCCAAAGAAATATCAATTGATTAGTTACAACCAAATTAGGAAAACAATCTCATACTTCTTTTTGTAAACACTTTCAAGAACGTAACATACACGTATATCCTTATAATGTTGGAACCATAACAATCTAGTTTGTTTGGCTTTCTGCTTTCACGAGTTTACAAAAACTAAATATACAATTTTTTACAACTGTTTTGGAATCCTGAGGTTTTTAAATTTATCATTCAGTCATAAAAAATAGGTAAGAACTACATGTATGAAAGAAAATAAACACGAAAAACGATGATAAAGCCTATCCCAGGACGATATTCTATCTAAGTCCCGAGGGAACACACTGTAGATTCAGATATATAATAACAAATGCCTTAATAGAAATTAAATTAAAACAGATTATAGAATTTAAAGTAATTATTAAAAATCTCCTCAGTTATCAAATTAAGGATAACATGAGTGAGAACATAGCTTCTCTGTCACACTCCACTTACATATCAAACTACACAGCAAATTCATATAATTATATATTCACGATTTAGAGAAGAGTTTGTTCGAACTTGCACCAACTGGGGTCGGTTTTATAACCTCGCGGAGATAATGCTTTTCTCAAAGCTGTTATCGCAGAAGATCGCGGAAGAAGAATGACGTACATTTTGTAACATACCGCTATTGTGCTAACGCCTTGTAATATGTACTACAATAAATGCCCCATGTCTATCTTAACAAGGTGATTGTTCTAGTATTATACAGACACTTGGGTGTACGTAAATAAATTATTTTTTTCATCCAAAAGTTTTAAATTTGTAACGTTACAGAGGATTTCAAAGGCACCGATTTCCTTTTCTTGGCAAGTTTCTAGACGTATTTCGGGACACTTGACTTGTATTTTCATATGGTGTTCTAGTTGTTTTACACTTTTTTATTGTATTGACCTATACAGGTTTTAATAGGCGCTTGCCTTCTTCGTATTTGTATTTATTATTTCAGAATGATTAACATGTGTGCGTTTATTATGATTGAAATATAGCGAGAGTGAGAAAGTGTTGAAAAAATAATTAGCAAAGACTTCTTTGCCATGATTAAATTATTGATACATTCCATCATAATATATACACGTATGATGACTAAACTTATTTTGCAAATGTGTCTGGAGGGCTCAGGATTTTATCCATATGTTTATCATCTATGTTCTACTAACTTTTATATTTCCTAATTGTCCAGTATATACCATAGTATATGCCTTTTTAACCTGGATATAATTGAGAAGGTTTACATGTCCTAATATTTAGTTTTATTAATCGTCAAATAAGGGAAAACATCAAAAATTAGGGAAGATCTTATGTCCGCTGCCTTGGCGTGACCCTTAATACGAAGTAGTTGAGTACAGTTCATTTTCAGTCGTCATTTTATTCCTCCATTCGACAGAGGAAAAACAATACACACTTAACGTCTTTTTAATAAAAAAATCATTTTAACAATTAAAAGTATCATTCCGTTGACAAATTTCTCGTCAAATCAACAGTTGAAAAACTAACAGATACTGTTTCATGTAAACATTGTATAAAGTCCGGCGAAAAATTCCGATCGAGCGCTTGGTAGGATTTCAGTAGATTTAAAGGTAAATTAGAAACAATTTTGATTTTGTTCCTCAATCATTCTTAAACTATATATGAAAATCGAACAAGGAAACAAGTCCATGGCTTGCTAAAAGCTAGATCAGGTTTGCGATGCCGGGTGAGGTTTTCGGGAGACTGCTGCAGAAACATGCATATAGTCTGTTGGAAAATGCTATTACATGCAGGCACATAGTCTATCGTCCAATAGTACTCGACCGTAAACAAATGCAAAGTGTCGTTACGTCGCTGACGTGGAGGGATTACATTTCTTTCTAGCGTTTTCTTCTCACAAACATATAACAGAAATTTCCTAATTTTTGGTCTTTGTGAGATATGTACCTGACTCATGCGATACTCCTGAAAGGGATATCATGTTGGATTCTACGGGAACTGTTTAATATGTTCTGGGCGTTTTATGACGGCCCATCACTATTTGCTCAATGACGTACATATGGCCGACTCAACTAACACAATATAAGCCTTTACCAAGAATCTTGTAAACTGGGTTATCTGAACGAGGAAGAAAACCTCGAATGTTTATTTAAATATAACCTTATGACTTTATATCAAGTCGAGAGAGATACATCCTGTAGTTCGTCTGAATCATCTTCAGGACAAGGGCAAAACAATAGTTATCTCGTGTTTGATCTACACCCGAGGTTCGAACAAGGACCCACAACAGAAACACAGATAAGAATTTGTAATTTGTCTGCTTTATGACAAAGAGCCTTGTGGTATGGGACGATATGGATATCAAAATCGTTATATAATTTATCAATGTAGATTGTCGTGATATACAACGACAGAAACAATCATTGTTTTACAAAATAACTTTATTTTGCAAAAAAAAATGACAAAACGTAAAACAGGATTATTTATTTTACTCTATCTCTGCACCACGTTGCGTTATTCATAGCGATGTTTGCTATTGTAGTGTGAAACAGAAATATGTATACAAAGGTATAAAATCTGTACGAGTAAGTGAACATAGATTTTTAGCGTATCCGAATCGACGTCAGTTTTATGTTTCCGACTCGTACATATTTAACACCTTTGTAGACAAACGCTTTTAGTGTGTCCGGGTCGACTTTGATTTTATATTATAAACTCGTACATATTTGACATCTTTAAATACAAACGCTTCACTTGTTATTTGTCTGATTAAGGTGACCCGAGCAAACTCGCTTGGAAATAATATAAAAGGATCTGATTGTTCATTATATATGTTATGATATGAATAATAACATCATTATGCACAAGTTAAATGTAGTGTCGTGATACACAGAAACAATCATATCAATGTTTGTTTAAATCAATTTTATTGCAACAAAAGACAAATGGATTGGACAAAAGTTTTTGCAACTTACTTACGTTCTTTCCGTAACAGAAAATATATATACAAAATTAATGTGTCACGTAATATCCTAATACAAATTTATATATGTATATTTATATATAAGATGTTAAAGATGGGTTACAACAAAAGAGGTAATGATAGGATTAGGGACACCAACGTATAGTTTTTAAATATGTATTCGGAGAGTTTACTTGAGATCGCGTGTGTGATTTTCCCAATCGAGTCGGCGTAAGTAGTATAACTAATCTATACACACATATCCTTCTGCTTTTCTAAAGTTCAATCACATTCCGTGCCGCATTTGCCTTCCTCCTGTGTCACTCCAAGTCCTTCTTTGAATTCCTGCCTTACATACTTAGCCGACTAGATTAGGAAAACCGGACACGCCCCCTTTGTCCTATGGAAACGGTTATGATATTGATGGACGCTAAGATTGAAGTTAGTACACAGATATCGTTGGTGTTGGAAAAAGGGAGAGGGGCTGGAATAAGAGAGGAGGTGGAGGGGAGAGACAGATGAGAATAGTCGAAGTAGGTATCCTGGTTATTCAATATGACTGTTGGTTATTACATGTTAAACCGTTTGGAGCTAAAAATGAACAGTTGTACAGACCTACAAATTTGAATGTTTAGATTGTAGTCAAGGTTTGCATCTCCGAAGAGAAGGTGTTCAACAGTGATTTCGTTATACCAATCGAGGGATTGAAGCATTATATTATTTTGGGAAGATCAATTTTTTTACAGTTTAGTAAGAAATTGGAAGAGTCTTCCGAGTCATTTCCGCAGTCGCAAGTAGAGTTGTCTCGAAGGTGAGCTTTAAAAAGGTTGTAATTTAAAGAGCTACTGCGGTTTCGTAATGGGCAATGTATACTATTTACTTTTCTGGACCCATATTCAAGAAAACATTTAATATAAGAAGGGATAGTGACTTGAGGCTGAATAAGAGTTTTAAATTGTTTAATGGATGCTGATGACTTTGTTTCTATTGGTAGATTGTTCCAGTAGTCTGAAGTACTTTGTATGAAGGGTGATTTTGTGATTTGCAGTCTATAGTATGGGTTCTGAAAGTTATTCCTGTTTCTAAGATTATAGTAAGAGAAGTTTGACACAATAGGTGGTGGAAGAGATTTTAGAAATGAGGGAGCATTATCATGATAAATATTATAAAACATGGATACTTTTCTAATCCTGCGTCTATCTATCAATGATTTCCATCCGAGCTCTCTGTAAATTAATTCTTTTTTTGTATAAATAGGTAATCCAGTTATTATTCGACATGCTTCATACAGCATGTTCTCCAATTTATTCGAAAATGTGATATTACAATTGTCCCATACTTCGCAGGCATATTCAAATAGTGGTCTTATAAAAACAAGGTATATTTTTTCCAAGTTTTTTCTATTAAGGATTATTTTAATTTCCTTAAAGTTGCAATGTACTTTGTAGTGTTTGTTAATATATGTTCAATGTGAGAGTTCCCTGTGCCGTTGTTACTAATAATGACTGTTTGTGGTTTTTAACAATAGGGATAGGTGTGTTGTCGAAAAGAACTTGTGGGTTAGAAGGTATATTTGTGTTGGAAATTAAGAGAATTTCTGTTTTGTTTGGGTTGAAATTTATTAACCAAAGGTTTAATTGTTCCATGTCGTAGTTTATTACTTGTTTTATATCGTGTAAATTTTTGGAAGGGTGTCGTCAGCAAAAAGTCTAGTCATTGATAGTAATGTATTTGAAATATCGTTGATGTATACAAGAAAAAGAAGTGGCCCTAACACTGAACCTTGAGGAACTCCGGCTTTGATAGATACTTCAGAAGATATAGCATATTTCAGTGCCACTGACTGGCGTCTGTTACTTAAGTAGTTTTTAATCCAATCTAAAAGTTTGCCTTATATCCCGTATTTTTCTAATTTAATTAATAGACCTTTGTGCCAGACTCGGTCGAAAGCTTTAGAAAAGTCACCAAAAAAACCAAGAGCAGTATGTTCACGATTCTCCAGTGCTGTAAGTATGCTATGATAGACTTCGACGAGATCGTGAGTTGTAGAGTGATTTGGTAAGAAGCCAGACTGTAAAGTATATAGAAGTTTGTTGCTGAATAGATAGTTATAGATGAGCTTATGAATTATTCGTTCGAAAAGTTTGCCAATGCAGCTAAGTAAAGAAATGGGTCTGTAGTTATTTGCCAATTCAGATTCCCCCTTTTTGAAAATAGGTGTCACATGGGCAAGTTTCCATGAATCAGGAAATACAGAAGTACGAAATGATTCGTTGAATAGAAGTGTGAGGGGTGCAGATATTTCATTGGATACCATTTTTAACATTTTATGATTGATGCCGTCAGGACCAGCAGCTTTATTGGTGTCTAAAATATTGATTATATCTAAAACCTCTTGTTCTGTTATTACAATTTCAGTAAGGGACGCGTCTGTTTGGTTGTCAAAATAGGGTGTATCGTCGTTATGGTCATCAAGGTCAGAAACAGATATAAAGAAGTTATTTAGAATATTTGATTTGTCATAATCGTCTGTGGTTATCAATGTGTAACAATGTACATTTTATCTTCCGTTTAAAAATGGCAAACAAACTTTAAACCATGATAGTTGTTTTTACATGTTTCTGTACAGCGTGGCGTTTTTCAATAGTACACACATATGAGTTATTATAAATGTTGCTAATATATCATCATATCAGAAATATTTAAAAGAATGTATTGTAAGTGAAGCAATGAAACTCGTATGCACGGAATTAGGAGTTCGATTAAATGTCTGTAAGTGCAGGATCTCTTTCGGCGTATTAATAACATACAAAAATGTAGCAACTTAGGTGTAATTTCTAAACACCTTATCAGAAAGTAATTTGTTAGACTTAAGGCATCTTCGAGGCCACGATTCAGAAGTCTCTACAGCACTCCCCAATGTTATAGAAGATATGTATCTCTGAGTACAGCGGTACGCCTGGATATTAAATAAATATGTGTCCCGTAGGACAAGCTTCCCGAATATGATAGCTTAATAAGAAGTAACGCAGGTGGAAAAAAGTAACAACAAGTCTCATCAAGCGTGGTTTTAACAATTCATCATAAACAACCTCAATGATTTAAAACCAGAGCAGTACCTATATGTTTATTGTTTTGTCCTTGTATATTTGTGATATGAAATTATTCAATAATAATTTATCTTGAGAAAGGGATGAATTACTTCAAATATTTCTAAAGTTTATTACGCCCGTTATTCATTTTGTCTGCAAACCTCTTCCGTGTTATAGGACCATAGCACGAAACAAAATGCTGTTTAATGCTTAAATAGACTATTTTCATTTTAATTGAGATTGATTAAAAGTTTATTTTCCGTCGTGTAAAGAACTGCACACACAGAAGAACACTTTATTATGAACTATTAGTATTCGTCGTGTAGACGCTTTACTAGCAAAAATCGTAGATAGGTATTGCATAAGAAATTTAAATCGATCGTATTTTATTATTATTCTCACTTTTCTTACATAAATGATATCTTTGATATGTTTCATTTCAATTTTATTTTACTATCTGATAACAAAATGTTGATGCAAAATCGTGAAAGTGATATAGAATAGTTATGTCACCTTGCGCACACGTTGAACAAATGATCACCGGTTTGACTGGTATTGCGCTTTTTATACCCAGCAAGACCCATACTCGTTACCAAGCAAGTAAATTCTAAAATGTCGCTGGTTCCTTAGATACGACAGCATTGTCACTGGGGAAGATCACAAAACCAGAACACAATGTGTTTTTTAACAATCTCAACTGAAATCTTTTTAACTTGCACTGTCAGCTTTCACTAATCTTAAATAATTCACCATTGGATCGGATTGACAACCTTATCTGGAAGAGCACTGCTGATAGCTGCAATCGCCTACGAGAAAAACACTGTTTTTACAATCGTGGAAGAAACATTGCGCAATTTACTATTATTTTGTTAACGCTGTGTAATATATATCATATACTTTACATACTTTACGTGCACTAAGAAGCTACCTTGATCAGTTAAACCTGCACGAACCATATGCTTTCAGTGGAAAACACGCTAAATTCACTGAGACAATTATTTGTTAGGGTCGGGAAAATTGTTACTGCATCTTAAACTTTAAGTATGACTTACAAAATTGAGAGATTCTAGATAAAAGTAAATCTCTCCCGGCCAATGATCGGAGAAAAATACTCCTTACCTCTAACCCACAAAACATATAGCGGATACCTCAGCAAATATGTTCATGCTGTGCTTACACGAACAGCTACGGTTATAGATTTTCTTACTACCTTAATTCACATTTTCTATTAATCTACTTCACTTGAATGCACTTCTTGAAGATGAACTTTGTTCCATAACTATCCTTTGGTTACAAGCTGACCGAGGGGATATGCGACATTGTCACCTTCTAATTTGTAACACTCTTTCTGATTGGATATCTTGCCGGGGTCTATATTTCTATAGACCCCGCTCTGCCGGGGCTTATAAAAGCACGTGCGAGGGGAGATAACTCAAACAGAAAATCTCTCTTCATAACAACAAAGATGGCCTTCGACACACACAAGCGTTCGAGGTTTGCCCATCATTTACAGGAAAAACGACAGAAAATTTATTGAAACAAGCTATGAGAGGCCGCTAGAATGCTTATTATAAAGATGGTTGGGTATTGTTCGAAATATTGCCGAAAAGATATCCGGTAAGGGCTATGGTATTTTGATAGCAGTCAAGTACAACTCAAACTCACAAAGTGACTTATAATTTTGTAGAAAAAATAATAAAAGATTGTCAGGGTGACAAATTCGTTATCTCTGGGTTAGGAGGGGTCTACGGGCTCATAGACCCCTTTGGTCTTTATAGGCCCCTCGCCTTTGGCTAGGAGTCTATCAAGACCAGACAGGGTCTATGAGCCCGTAAACCCCTCCTAACCCAGAGATAGCTAATACTATCAGCATATTTCGTACTTGATAACTGGTTTTTGAATATGTACTTTATGTTGTTGTATTTTTTTTGTAGATACTGTTTATCTCATTTATATATGTTTTGGTATATATATAAGTGTTCATGTTCCTGTTTTGAAAAAAAAGGCGGATTGCCTTGAACATGTGACAAATGCCTTGCCTGCACTGCCAATAGCAAACAAATCAACACCCACACCCACCCACACACATATATATGATAACACTGTACAAGTTGCTAGAGTAACATGATACAGAAATATTTAACAGAATTGTAAAGAAAGATACTGTTATTAAACAAGTGAAAAACTCGTTTTAATGCCATTGACACTTATTAATTACTGAGTCGGGTTTGTTTATATGTCCAGCAGTAACATATAGGTTCAATATACAACAGTGACACATTGCAATGATGATTGGCTTTATTCTATTATTAACATACATGCTGACAATGATGAAAACAACATGGCTCGATCTAAGGATTCTGCATCTTAATGTTATATATTATCGAAGTATTAACATGTAACATTTTTCTCCAACATTTTTTGTGTTGATGCTTTCTTATAATAGGCACAACGTATTCTCTATGTGTTCAAACATTACAAACAATACAAAATGCTCTATTTGCCTATTTGATCCTCACTGTGGCATATCAAAATACGTAAGGGGTTTATCCAAACCCTTTCTTAAAGACATTGTCCCCTTGATGTAAACTATATCATACCTTTTTTTCATACCAGAAAAAAAATCAAATACGCTTTTTGAATCTATAAAAAAAATATCTCTTGTTTGAACAATGTTTCCTACTCTTAACTTTTCATATGTGTGTTTAGAAAAAGAAATTTCTGCTTACAGTTACAAAGTACACACTTTTATTAACTTGATCAAATCCGTACAGCCTTAATTATTCATTTCAGATTATATATAGACATGATAATGATTAAATAGCTTAATCCTGTGCGTACACAAACTTGTCGATAACTAGATAACTTGATCCAGGTCATTTGCAGACTTGTTGGTAATTTAATAACTTTATTCAGTCCGTAATCATGTCCGTTGCTTGATACCTGATGCCTGTCATACACAGACTTATGGGTAGCTTGTTAACATTCGTCCATACCAAACACAATGACTGTCGATAACTTAATGGCTAGTCTGTATCTTACAAATAAAGACCAATACTACATGCATACAGAATATACATTTCTAACTGATATCACACAGTTAAAAACTCCTCACGAAATAAGAATTATAATAGTCATGTTATATGCGAGTACAGTTGTACAGTGTGCATATAAACTAAACAAATGTAATTTCAAAAAGTGATAAGCATATGTTGATTAGACTGATAACAAAACACACTATCATTCTGTCTAATTTACAGTTAAGTACACTTTTGCTGATTACAAAGATCCTGTGGCCTTACATTTATAACAAATCCTTAACTTCAGACCTGGTGTATATCACCCTACACAAGCGAGGGGTGATATATAGGTATGACTAGAAACAACTCATTACAGATTAGGTTCCTTCTTCATCTCACATAAGCCACTAGTAACAATCACGTTGTTTAGTGCCAGTACATCTCCGCCCCACATGATGTGAGCTTTCAGCAGCATCTGTAATGATAAAAAAATAACTACACAAAGTATAAAGCCAGCATCATTGTACTGATTGTTTAGTTCCGGTTGATTGGGCTACAATGGGAGAAAATATGCTGAGCAACTGATTTCCTATGTAAACACGAACTAAGTATATGTATTAATCATACACTTACTGTCCATTCCTGTTCTGAAGTGAACGACCTATTGAACGTCTGCCAGTGCCCGCTCGGTTGAGTGTAGTTGAGCTTGGATATGTCGAGTCCGTCCATCGTGGTGAGTTGTATGTATGATTTTATGTCGGTGGAGGAGGACGCGATGCAGACACTAACAGATACACAGAAGTTACCAGATGGTAAGGGAAATGTACTCTTCCATATGGCGCCGTTCAGGACAGTCAATGTATACGGACCTGAAAGATATTGGCATAATGAAAGAATACAAGAAAACACCAAAGTGTTATTAAACCAGTAATTGAAACTCAAAATCAAGTTAAAGAATAGGAAAAATGAAGAAAGATTTACACGGACATCTTTGAGAAAATGCAAGGCGAATATGACCATTTGTTCCGGGAAGATTATAAGACCCCGATGGTGGAATTTCCCTATCCTACACCCTTGGGTATGAAAGAGTATTTTTCACTCGTTCCAATCACCAGAATAAGCTCAAAAACCATGAAAATGTGTTTGGACTGGTCACCATTTTGAAAAAATCATTTTTGTCCCTGAACTTTTTAGACGAAAACGAATTAGCCAGCCAGATTTAGCATATCCCTTATAGTCAAACATACGCTTTTGCTGATTACAAAGATCCTGTGGCCTTACATTTATAACAAATCCTTAACCTCAGACCTGGTGTATATCACCCTACACAAGCGAGGGGTGATATATAGGTATGACTAGAAACAACTCATTACAGATTAGGTTCCTTCTTCATCTCACATAAGCCACTAGTAACAGTTACGTTGTTTAGTGCCAGTACATCTCCGCCCCACATGATGTGAGCTTTCAGCAGCATCTGTATAGTTTGACTATAAGAATGAAGCTACTCTTTCTAACGTGTACGGTAAATATATCGTAAAAGGTTTTAATTTCATCACGTCGTCTTATCCGCATTGCTGCATCGGTGAGTTCCAAATTCGTGAAGTCATGTCATTGTTAAGCCATTGTGACGTCACGTCACGTGAAATTGGATGTAAGCTTAATAAAATCCATCCCTGATGTGAGGTACATTTGTATGGATAAGGTTATTCAAACCCAAGGGATAACCTATTGAGCAGGAGACCCGAGGCTTTGCCGATATTTTACCCCGAGGGTTTGAATTACCTTATCCTTACCTCATATTAGGGATGGATTCTATTTCTTGCTTTTTACCTAGAACCCGTAAAAACAACTGCTCTTCTAGTAAAGTTGTAAACTGTCCGCACATTTCTCATTTGCATATGAAGCCCGGATAGCAATTGTTAGTGACGTCAAAGACCCTGACTGACCCCAAAAAGTCATAAAATGACGTCACGAACAATAGCGTGACCCCGAAAGGTCACTATAATTCCCCGCCAGTCTGCACATTTAAGCGATTTAGACCCGTGGGTCGGATAATAGAATCTATCGCTACTGGTTGTGTAACATTAATAGAATCTATCTCTACTGGTTGTGTAAGATAGAGAAATCTCAACCCGAGGACTAAGATTTTTTGTCCAGAACGAGGCTTGCCGAGTGCTGGCCAGCCAAACACTGACACGAGGGTTGAGATATCCCTGTCTATGGAACTGACCCATGTTTGATTATTTTTCTAACATACATACAAATAAACAAGTTCCAGTCGGAATAAACATCGATCTTATTCTTCCGTCAAACCTCAAAGCCCTAGGGTTGAGACGAATGATTCCCCATTCACAACAATTGTATGACATCATGGAAACAATAAAATGACGTCACATCGACAATCCATTATTATGACGTCATAGCGCGTGTCAGCTGTCTTTCCCTACCCCGTGTAAGATAGAGTTATCTTTTCCCTAGCAACAGCGGAATCACCCTGTGAAGTATGTGAGAAAGATAAATCTCAACCCAAGGACTAAGATTTTTTGTCCAGAACGAGGCTTTCCGAGTTCTGGACAAAAAATCTTAGTCCGAGGGTTGAGATTTCTCTATCTTACACAACCAGTAGCGATTGATTATTTTTCTCCCATATCTAACAGTATTTTAATGTGAAATAAAGGTAAACATGGACCCAAAACACATACAGGCAATTTGTTGATGGATTGTTGACGTGACGTCATTGTATTGTTGAAGTGAAGTGAAGTGAAGTGAAGTGATCTTAGTCCGAGGGTTGAGATTTCTCTATCTTACACAACCAGTAGCGATTGATTATTTTTCTCCCATATCTAACAGTATTTTAATGTGAAATAAAGGTAAACATGGACCCAAACCACATACAGGCAATTTGTTGATGGATTGTTGACGGGACGTCATTGTATTGTTGAAGTGACGTCATGCCATTGTTATGAATAGGGGAATCCCCCCGTCTCAACCCTAGGGCGGAGACAGATAAATCTAGCACCGGCAAAACGGGAGATAAATCTGTCAGGTGTGGGAGAAAAAAAAAATCCAGCACCGCCGGAAATGCGGATATCTCGGTCTAGTATGCAAGAAAGAAATTTCCTACACCCCTTTCTTACCTTGAACAGCTCTATCTTACACATAGGGAAATGAGAGAAAAACGTCTTCTGCTTTATCTACGACATCTGCCATGTAAATCTAGGTTACGCAAGAACTGGGGTAGTAACAAGAAAATCACAGGTAACGCTTATAATTAAACAAAAGGTAAAGGTCAGTATTCATAAATCGCACAAATAATATTATCAAAATAGATCATGGTAGACATAAAAAAAAATAAAAAATGTCGAAAATATCCACCATCCTGCATATACCTCGTAAACCAGTATTGTGCATATCGTGTCAGCCTTTGATATCTAAAATGGCGTTACATAGAGAAAAAACACCTGAATGATAAATGTATCAGCTGTTATCTAACATCAAAAAGAACACTCAATAACGGTTTTAATATCACAGGTTTAACAACACATAACCAATAACATCATTATTTTACCTTCTGTATCACAGCTTGTATTCATGTAATCCGGGAGATGTTCAGAGCTGAGGTGCCATTGTGGGTAGTAGCAATCAAGAGAATTTTGTGTAAAGCGATTGACACCGTGACCAATCATTGTATAACCTGAAACAGGAATGGATAGAGTCGTTTAATGTTATAGTACCTAATTATACAGGGCGTGTAAGGTTGCATCGATGTCAAAGATAATAAAACCTTCGAGAACTTGATCATTTTACTTATTTCGAGAACAAATTTTGATGCATTCCTGTATTACCAGAAAAATAATATCGTTATTGACCAAAGCACTAATATATTGACAATATTTTTTAAATCTGCCACAGCCGGTTTTGTTTGCTTGTATTGTAAGTGGTGTAGAATGACACACAAAATAGAAGTTATGCCACTAAACGATGTAGCAGTTTATATACGACATCAGATAAAGACGTCTTTGGACAAACGCAACAATGATAACGAAACAATGACACCACAGGCAATATAACGCCAACATGTTTGGAAACCAGGTTAGCACGTGACAATGGACACAGAGAGCAGGGAAAAACAAAGGCCAAGCCTTTACGGTAGTACAGTTTTTCGGTATTGCACATGGTTAAATTGAAACATAGCTTTACATTTTATATAGAATATTGATCTATATGATGTTGAATCTCTCGGCTACATACCTTTGGTGCATTTGTATAATGTTTGTACTTTAAGGACGTCATAGAAACTGAGTACGTCTCTGTCGCCAAAGCTAACCCCAGACACATTGGATGTTATAGTCGGTCGAGAAGCATGTTTTGCGTACTCGTACTGTCTGAAGTGGGTGATAGAATGAAAGTCGTACGGTAAACCAAGCAAGTCTGTATCTGTCGCCAATGTTTTGTTAAACAGAGGTTTTGCAACTGGAAATAAGAAATCAGACATCAACATTGCATAATCGTATATAGTCTAAATGTAATTACAACATACCAATTGTGCTTACAGTGTAACATTTGCATGCGTTTAATAATCTTGTTAAATGGCACAAAACAGACATAATAAGGAACACTATTACTCTGACAATAGGTGTAACGTAACCATGAACTATAAATATCCATTAACGTTAACGAAATGCAGCACTTATTAAGAACATTAGCTTTTGAAATGTTTCTGCTATAATGATAGGCCTAACATGTTAACATACAATTATTAAACGCCGGCGATATAATTGTCCCTGTCGTGTCTCTGGTATACGTACCATATTGTACGTTGTCCATCAGTACCTGTATGTACTGGTCGTTGTCGTGTCTCAGGTATACTTACCATCCTGTACGTTGTCCATGAGTACCTGTATATACTGTCCCCTGTCGTGTCTCTGGTATACTAACCATCCTGTTCGTTGTCCATGAGTACCTGTATGTACTGGTCGTTGTCGTGTCTCTGGTATACTTACCATCCTGTACGTTGTCCATGTGTACCTGTATGTACTGTTCCCTGTCTGTCAAGTCTCTGGTATACTTACCATCCTTTACGTTGTCCATGTGTACCTGTATTTACTGGTCGTTGTCGTGTCTCTGGTATACTTCCCATCCTGTACGTTGTCAATGTGCACCTGTATGTACTGGTCCCTGTCGTGTCTCTGGTATACTTACCATCCTGTATGTTGTTCACGAGTACCTGTATGTACTGGTCGTTGTCGTGTCTCTGGTATACTTACCATCCTGAACGTTGTTCATGTGAACCTGTATGTACTGGTCCCCGTTGTGTCTCTGGTATACTTACCATCCTGAACGTTGTTCATGTGAACCTGTATGTACTGGTCCCCGTTGTGTCTCTGGTATACTTACCATCCCGTACGTTGTCCATGTGAACCTGTATGTACTGGTCCCCGTTGTGTCTCTGGTATACTTACCATCCCGTACGTTGTCCATGTGAACCTGTATGTACTGGTCCCCGTTGTGTCTCTGGTATACTTACCATCCCGTACGTTGTCCATGTGAACCTGTATTTACTGGTCCCTGTCATGTCTCTGGTATACTTACCATCATGTACGTTGTCCATGTGTACCTGTATTTATTGTTCGTTGTCGTGTCTCTGGTATACTTCCCATCCTGTACGTTGTCAATGTGCACCTGTATGTACTGGTCCCTGTTGTGTCGCTGGGGTACTTACCATCCTGTACGTTGTCCATTTGTACCTGTATGTACTGGTATCTGTCGTGTCTCTGGTATACTTACTGTCCTGTACATTAACACGGTGAACCTATAAGTACTGGTCCCTGTCGTGTCTCTGGGATACTTACCATCCTGTATATTGTCCATGTGTACCTGTATGTACTTGTCCCTGTCGTGCCTCTGGTATATTTACCATCCTGTACATTGTCCATGTTTACCTGTATGTGCTGGTCCCTGTCGTGTCTCTGGTATTCTTACCATCCTGTATGTTGTTCACGAGTACCTGTATGTACTGGTCTTTGTCGTGTCTCTGGTATACTTACCATTCTGTACGTTGTCCATGTGTACCTGTATGGACTTGCCCCTGTCGTGTCTCTTGTATATTTACCGACCTAACCATTTTCCATGTGTACCTATATGTACTATTCCCTGTTGTGTCACTGGTATACTTACCATCATGTACGTTGTCCATGTGCACCTGTATGTACTGGTCCCTGGCGTGTCTCTGGTATACTTACCATCCTGGACGTTGTCCATGAGTACCTGTATGTACTGGTCGTTGTCGTGTCTCTGGTATACTTCCCATCCTGTACGTTGTCAATGTGCACCTGTATGTACTGGTCCCTGTTGTGTCTCTGGTATACTTACCAGCCTGTACGTTGTCCATGTGAACCTGTATGTACTGGTCCCCGTTGTGTCTCTGGTATACTTACCATCCTGAACGTTGTTCATGTGAACCTGTATGTACTGGTCCCTGTTGTGTCGCTGGGGTACTTACCATCCTGTACGTTGTCCATGAGTACCTGTATATACTGTCCCCTGTCGTGTCTCTGGGATACTTACCATCCTGTATATTGTCCATGTGTACCTGTATGTACTGTTCCCTGTCAAGTCTCTGGTATACTTACCATCCTTTACGGTGTCCATGTGTACCTGTATTTACTGGGCGTTGTCGTGTCTCTGGTATACTTACCATCCTGTACGTTGTCCATGAGTACCTGTATGTACTGGTCCCAGTCGTGTCTCTTGTATGCTTACCATATTGTACGTTGTCGATGTATATCTGTCTTAGTCGGAATTAATCCGACGTTTTATCGACTTTTTTCATATCGGTCTGTCGTCGATTAANTGTCCCTGTCGTACCTCTGGTATACTTACTATCCTGTACATTATCAAGGTGAACCTGTATGTACTGGTCCCGGTCTGGTCTCTGATGTTCATGGTACAACCCCAATGTCACAAGCAGTAAGGACACTATGTTCCGTTTATTCATGCAGTTGTTAGTGAGATAGAGTTTCTGTCGACCACCCGCCATTCCGATGTGATCTATTCTGCACCGTCTGGGAAGGATAAATGTTAATATATTGAAGATAAGTGTTGATCAATGCATTATTATCTGAAGAAATAACCATATAACATTACTATCTTGGCAAATTTTAAGATATATGGTTTCGTGGAAATATATAAGAATCGAATGAAGTTTTTAGAATAGAAGAAAATAATTTGTACAAGAAATGCTTTCCATTGAAAACGAAATCCTGCCTTATGTATGACAACATTCTATGTCATGAAAACAACTGACCTATTGGTCGCCAATGTTATAAACACATAATCGGTGCGGTCACGAAAGGCTCCTTCCTTTTTCTGGAAAGTGATGCAGTTACGATAACCTGTACTGACGTTATGTTCAAACTCCCGCATCGACTCCTCGATCACGGTCTTCTGGGAGTCATCTGAGGGATAGAATAGCATATAACACAAAAACGTAATACTTAATGTTGCTAATTATCATAGGTTTGAAAAATAAGAAAATTTCCCTATACCAAAGTTTAAAATATCTTTTTACAATTCCCCATTTGTTAAAAAACAACAAGAGAATTTCGAAGTGTCAACAACCTACAATTCGAACTTAAAATGTATAAAACTAGGGCAACATATGACAAAAGGGAGGATTAACATGGAGACCCCTGAATTAACAAACGGAGTATAAGCCCATGTGTTCCGGAATGGGAAGCGTTTTCTTCTTCATCGAAGACACCCGCCGTGCAAAATGAGATGATTCCCTTATAACAAAATGTTCAATGTCTCATTTTTTAAGGTTCGTAAAAAAATTGATAAATTCCCAAATAACAAAAGTTGAATATCTGTGAAACATTCAAAGTTTCTTAAATCAGATCAATTCCCAACAACAAAGTTTTCAATATCTGTCTACGTTTCCAGGTTTGTATAACCACACACATGTCTCAAAAGGCCCCAACAATTCCATTTCTTTTGAATTATGGCAGTATAATCAACTATGAGGAGGTTTTCATTTTTGTAACTGTTCTATAATTATACATTATCATGCTGGTTTTTTAGGGTTTGTCGTGAGAACAATTTTCCCATCGCAATCACGTTGGTAAATCGATAGTTTACCACGAAAACATTGTGTGATAAATTGTTTATCATCTTTATACTTCTAACTTATTTATTTCTCCATTATTAAAAAAGGCAACAAAAAATCGAATCCTCCAAATGACATCTTGGCTCAATAATAATCGAGGTCCTCGGTCTGTGACAAATGTAAACAAACAGAGGATTTAAGCGGAGGAATACCATGAAGCTCAAAACTACGTTAACAGATATTTCAAAACTATATTATCGTCACTGGTTCTCCATATGCACATTTACGCTTTAAATGGTATTGTTATCCTCACAATATTTTGTAATAATTTTGAATGATGTGTTTATGACGGATTATTTTCTTACGGGGATGGTCGGGTGGCGCATTGGATAGCGCACTAATCTTTCACTAAGTTATCCGGGGTTCGATTCACCGATCGGACGTGAAAAGGTATTGGGTCACCTGCCCGACCACGTGGGCTTTCTTCGAGAACTCCAGTTTCCTCCCATATAAAGACCCCCGCGTGTTAACATCCAGGTCAACAAGAGTGATTAATAAAACTTGTTTCATAATTGTTATAAAATACATAAAGTTTATATATATTACACGGATCACCTTTATGTGGATACTATTTCTGATTCGTGACGTCACCTGGCGCGAGCAGACATTCGTTTTTGAGAAAATACGTTTCCAAATGGGAAAATTCATACTCAAGTCGTTCTCAAGTTGTTCACAAGTCGTTCTCAACTTCGTTTTGAATATTCTCATACTGACAACCCATGATACTTAATTTATCAGACTACCGATAGGTGATATAAGCATTATATAAATACTGTAATTATTCATGAGCTTTCATACAATATTATACCATTTTGATACAAATAAACCATTAAACGTTAACAAATACGTTATACCTATTGCTACGTGGTAAACCTTATTGATTACTGTATTAACGTACTCCCTAAACTACTTACCGATAAGACTGCTGATCTGGTATACCATCATCTCGCGTTCCCATAACTTGTTTTTGTTATTGATAACATTTCGCAACTGTTGATGAAAAACTTTATTTAAATACGTATTACTTTTAATTAAAGAGAAACGCTTAAAAGTGATGACATTTATTTGAAAATCCATTGATGTTTCATAATCAGGTTGACATTATTTGAACTTGTCCACATTTAATGGCGTGGTACAGCATTTAGTAATAACCAGTATATGCAAGAGTGTTGATTGAAAACGATTTTATAATATGTGTTTGTCGACGTGTATGTGGACATACGTAAATCAACAGGACAAAGTAAAGGTAAATGTTTTTGAATATGACAAAAATGGACAAAATTGGAAAACAAAGTAGACTAAAAGAAAAGTGAACAAAAACAGAAAATAAACGAAAAAGAAAGACACTGACACCCAACATTTTAAACAGGAAGGTGAACGAAGTGTTCCGGGAGTGTAAGCGGAATGTGGCACATTGCACCTCTGTGATTTTAATTCAGCTTTTTTTAGCACAGTTTATGCACAGTTTCGTATTTTTCTCTGCGCATGATCGAAAAAAACTTTTAACTTCCTATCGCGGTAAAGTCGAAGCGGTGCAGTATATAGTCTTGGTTTTCTGTTGTATTTTATTCATTTTTCACTAATTGTGTAGGGTTATATTGTATCAGCGACGTGCATAAATGGTATTGGCAAGTACATTCTCTATTTTGCGATGTCATGTTATTAATCCTTTTCTGCTGTAACAGGAGGCCCACTCTGTTTATTGTAGATCTACTGAAAACAACTAACAATCTCTCATATAATTTATTTAAAATCCCAACATCGACCACCTTTAATTGGATTTAACTCAGGAGATAGATTACTTGGGAAGTGTTTCTCTCCATGGCCAAATGGATTATATTTATTTCATTACATTGTAAATAATACTTGCATTAACTTTTAAGAGATGTCTTGGAAGTTGGATGTAACTTAATATTATGATATAGAAAATAAAGATAACAGTGCATTGGATCCAGACTTCTAGCACTGAAATATGTTGAGTTGTTCTCAAATTAAATAATCAGATCTCGGAATTTAAAAATGGTTAACAAACTGGTTGAAAAATGTTAAAATTCAAGGGTTTAAAATTGGTTGTCTCCCTCCAAATCTGGGAGTGTTGGTAAGTATGGAAACTGCACCGTATAAGGTATCCTTTAGATATATATTATACCATGCAGTTGTTCAGAAATTATGCATGTTTTACATTCCTACCATATAAAGTTGAGAGCAGGAAATGTGTTCATTTTTTTTTTGATAATGTCTTTACATGTAGTCAAGGAACCATGTAAAGCTGTTTGTAATATGTGTTAAGTTAAGAGTAACAGATAACTGTAATATCCAAATGATTTGATGTTCATTATAACAAAATGATAGTATATTCTAATTTCAATAATGCATAATGATTAAATTGCTGAAGTAAAGTGCACTGGTAAAATTTTAGGCTAATGGTATTGATCCAAACATAATGAAAGTTTAAACAATTGTACAGACATTAAATGGAAGAAATGAGCATGCATACAAAGAAAAAATGCATTACACATCATGTCTTCATAGGGGAAATATCCTAAGAAATATTAAAATGAATTATTTTGGTATTGAATGAAAATTAATAGTTTATTATGTAGCCATTTTGTTTTACTTTTGGCCTCCCCTTAGGGTAGCTGTTCGGTACCTAACTTGCTTTCTGAAACCATCTTATTTCAATTTCATCATAATTATTCTAACCAAGTTTTAATTATTTCCTGCTGAATGTGGACAAATTGTATCCAAAATAGTTCTTTCCTTTACACTTGTTTAAGCAATAGTAAACTTCAAGAGAAAAATAGAACAAAAATAACAATTCAGATCAAGCACATGTGACCTTTTCATCCATGCGGAGAATATGATTCTTGTACATCTTAGTTCAAGGAAAAATACTTTTGAAATTTTAGCCAGTTTTCCATTTTTTGGCCCCCAGCTTCAGGAGGGAGGCAGGATCCTATTTTCTCATAACATCTACCGATACTAATTGCCATCGCATCATACTTTTTCCAACCAAATTTGATTTTTTTTTTCTGCTGAAAATGGACAAAATATACCAAAAAGTGTTATTTCCCTGTATAAAGTCTAGTAACATTTACCCCAGCTTCCCAAATGGAGAACTGATAACCAGGAGTAAATATATTTACAATTCAGATAAAACAACTAAGGACCTTTTCATTCGTGAAGTGCTTTTGATTCTGTCACATCCAAGTCTGAGGAAGAGGCGTTTTGAAATTTTAACCCCCCCCCCCCCCCCCCCATCAATCAAA